ATCATTCATGTTTCTATCTTTCTCCCTTTCTTCTCTGAAATCAATAAAATAATTAAAAAGACAATGCAAATTTCTGCAGCAGATGTTACCTTCACCAGCTGAACTCCCAAAATAATAGCAGGTTCAGGGTATACTCCTTGATTATTTCTTACAGATGACTGATAGGAATACATAATAAGGGGATTATACTTGTATGATTTAAACCAGTGGTTCTCAACCTTCCTAATGCCGTGAGTCTTTAATATAGTTCATGTTTTGGTGACCCCCAACCATAAAGTTATTTCCATTGCTACTTCATAACTGTAATTGTGCTATTGTTATGAATTGTAATGTAAATATCTGATATGCAGGATATATTTTCATTGTTACAAATTGAACATAATTAAAGCACAGTGATTAATCACAAAAACAATATATAAGTATATATTGTGAAGTATTTGTTTCTAATTACAAGTAAATGAAAATTTGTCTTGAAGCATGGTATAGCATGGGTAACAGTCTTAATATAACAACAGTAAACTACATTGCTACATTTTGCAACAGTATGCGTAAAACGCTGTCAGTGCGAAGGTTGAGATTGCTTCTTTCTCACCAGATCAGAAATTCTCGGGACAGTCTTTGTAAGAGCACAACAAAGATCATCTTCCACAACAAGTCTACTTGGTAACCAACAAGCTGGGAAACCCTGATTCACAAAGATATGTTGTTGGAAATGGAAGAAAGTGCAACGCAGTCTCAGGCAGAACAGGATATGGACTGTAAACACTTGATCCAGAATTTTGTAACTGGCATTGTAGAGAAATCAGTTCTCACTGCATCGCTGTTAATAAGTTCAATGAACTCCTCTTGTGCTGTCTGAAACATCTTCAACCTTGACTGTGAATGGGCTTCTGGCAAGTGCAAATGGGGTGTCAGGTAGATTTGGAAACTATGATGAAATCTCATCTGCAAGCATGTGCAAGTGTTCTTTCACAGAAATTATTATAATATTTTTGTCTGGTTCAATGTCATGTTCCTCAAAGAAAGCAGATAAGGTAAGCAACATGTAAATTTTATTTTCATCCAATTATTATTATTATTATTATTATTATTATTATTATTATTATTATTGCCAAAGCTGAAGTTTCATTTGCAATGATCGGATCTTTTCATACAAATCAAGGCATGTTGCATTTGGTCCTTGCAGTGATAAATTTAACTCATTCAAGATGGCAAAGATGGCAACCAAGTAAGCCATTTTCTGCAGTTCACTTTTATTGCTGAAAAGTGCTTCGAATATGGTCTTGGTTTCTGATTTAAAAACGTTTTGAGTTCATCACGAAGCTCAAAAGCATGTTTTAAAACTTTTCCTCTCAACAACCATCTCACTTCACTGTGAAATAACAGAGCATTGTTCTGCGCATGCAACTCGTTGCATAGTTGAGAAAACAGTCGACTGTTTAAAGTGTTTGCCTTTACAAAATTGACATAACTTATGACGTTTTTCATTACTTCTTGTAACTCTTGTGGCAGCATCTTCATTGCTAATATTTGCTGATGAATCATACAGTGAGTTTCGATGACTTTTGGTGACTCATTCAGTACCAAACGTTGAAATCCAGATCGACATCCTAGCATAGCTGCAGCACTATCTGTGCAAACACCACAAACCTTTTCCCAAGAGATATTATGCTCTTTCAGAAACAAATCAACTGTCTAATACATCACGTGCGGTAATTGTTGTTTCAAGAGGTTTGCAAAAAAGAAACTCATCCTTAAAGTTGCCATCATTAATATACCTCACATAAACCAGTAACTGTGAACAGTTTGCAACATCTGTAGATTCATCAAGCTGGATACTAAATATTGGAAGTGGAGTAGATTTAATTTCTTGGATTACTGATCAAGAATATCAACAGACACACCATCTATTCTTCTGTGGACAGTGTCATTAGATAAGGAAATTGCACTCAATTTCCTAACAAATTTGTCTCTGATCATAACTTGAACAATGTCTTTGGCTGCTGGCAACAGTAAATCCTCAGCAATGGTGTGAGGTTTCATAGCTCTGGCAATTCTGAGTGCCACCAAATGTGAAGCTTCAACGGCTGCTATGTTTTGTTTGTGGCTTTCTTGAGTTCATCAGCTTTGCTACTAAAATAGTTGGTATCCTTGCTGGCAACGCTCGGATGCTTGCTATCAAAATGGCGTTTTAGTTTGTTCGGCTTCATAGATTCAGCTGATAGAACTTCACAACAAATAAAATGTTGCGGTTTCTCAATTCCTACTGTGATTATTGAGGTAAAACCATACTGTAAAAAATCCTCACTATATTTTCTTTTCTTAACGTTCTTCTCTACATGATCCATTGTCATGGGATATTTTGCTAATGAAAATAATATACAACCAATAGCTTTAATAATACAAAAGATGATACATGGCATAGTTCAGTCAATACAGTTCATTAAAGTTTCCTATGATTTACCATTTTGTGTTTTGTTTTGTTTTACATACCTGTTACTATCATAAGGGGGCAGTATTCACATCAACCACAGCTGAATATAAAAAGACCAATCAGCATCCAGATTAAGTTGCCATGGTATAGATTTTTTTTGCAGTAGTTGATGATTTTACATTTACCCAGTAATTATCATTCATTAAGTGAATAACTGCTTTCAACAAAGCAGTTGCTTTCTACACAGTAGCTTCTCTCTACTCATGTGTGACTGGTCTGCATAAGTACATTATGGCACCAAGCCTGTCACATACACCTGTATTTGTACGGGGTGTATGTGATGGGATTGGTGTGATGATGTCTTACATCGGGCTCTCGTATGTGGGCATATCTGCATGTGGGCAGACCCACCTGGAGACAGACAGAGGAGTGGTGTCTCGGTTCCTAAGACCATCGGAAATATGTGTTTTTCCAATGGTCTTAAGCAACCCTTGTGAAAGGATCATTCTGACCCCCAAAAGGGTAGTGACCCACGGGTTGAGAACGGCTGATTTAAAAAGACCATAAATCCTGTTGACTTAAACACTGGCAACAGTGACAATTAGGTTTATCATTAATCTTTGGTTTAACTTAGTAACAAGCATTTCATTAAATTGTGTTAATTAGTAATGGAACTCAAGGGAAGGCAGTAACCTACAAGTTTAAAATAAAAACAAATCAATTAGAAGCCTAAGGCAAATGTGCTTGTCTTAAAAACAAACAATTCCCAGACTCACATTTTCTAGACTACACTCTTCTAAAATGCCCCTTAGAAGCTAATTAGTGAACCATTGACAACAGTTGAAGATACAAAACAATTATTTCCTGTGAGTTATGTATATTTCAGAAATGTTAGCATGTTTGAAAATGTTGAAGAGGGGGTTAACTCCATATTTTAAGCTTGGCTAATATAAACCTTTACTTAAAACAATTTGTAGGCTGCACAAATTGAGAATTCAGGAGGTTAACAGAGAAGATAAACATTAACATATAGAGGAAGATTGTTATAAAGATCAGCACACTATTGTTCATCTTTTTTTTTACTACAGTTGTCAGATGCCAACTTGCAGAGCAAGTACTTACAAAACCAGCTCCATGTCTATTATGAAGCAGAAGCCTTAAATAGTGCACTGATTTGGAACTCATTAATATCAATCATCTTGAGAACAGTACACCGAAGATGGAATATATTATTTGCAATGGATGCCATTCTAATTTTTTCAACTGTTCAAGTACCCTGAGTTCTGAGGTATTTTGACCTGGGGTATAACTGAAGGTAGACAAGGACAAAGTGATTCACATGCATAAATAACCATTTAAAAAGGCAATATAAACAGGTTTTGTGGCAATGAAAGAACACTTTAAAAATTGCTGTTTGTCAGTTGAGCTATAGCAAAGTATTCAGATTAATTACCCCACAGAGGAGAATTGATGGGTACAGAAAATCTTGTGTCCTTTATGTAGATGAAAGGAAAATGATAGGCTGATAAAAATATGTCTCACAGAAAGTTAGAGATAAGGTAGGCCTGGAGAGATACAAGATAAGTCTAAAAACAAAAATGGAAAGATGTGACAACTATTGGAAGTATAGGACAATGAGAAAGTAAGTCTAGATTGAAGTTTCCTAAGAGAGTGAACAGATTAAAAACAAACAAACAAAACAAAAATACTACCTAAAAAGGATCCCAAGAGAAAAACAACAACAGATATGGTAGTATAGATTACAATGTCTTGAGATTAAATAATATTTCAACTGGCTCTGCCAGTTCATGCTATAAATTCACATGCTTTTGCAACCCAAATACTAGTGAAAAAACACATTAGAATGATCAAATGTCTGGTACTCTGTGTTACCATAAAAAAGCAGAAATGAAGAAAATACCAATCATTTTAACAATTTTAAATGCTACTTTTTATTTACTGCTAATTGTGCAAATGATACTAATTCAATACTGTGCAGTAAAAGTTACATAAATCCAACATTAAACAATAGCATATGGGATAAATCTAAAGCAGAGCACCATGTGCCTTCGAAACTAATAAATATCACACAACGCAACTTAGTTCAGACTATTCTTAAGAAACCCAAAGAGCTCTCATTTAATATTGTTAGTTACGCAGAAACAACTGCTCTTGATTTTTGCTTCATTTTCTAGAGAAAAGTGGAAGTTAATAGAATTTTGCAGTTTAATCTGATGTGTGACATTTAAACCAAGAAAATAGTTCGTATGACTTATTCCTTTTATCAACTGACAAACTGGCTGACAGGAAGACAGCTGAATACAACTAAGTTTGCTCAACATGAAGCTAGTTATGCATTCATCTCAATTTCCTTATTCACAGCCCAAAGTAATATTCCTTTATTTTAAAGTACTATTTTAAATCAAAAGATAAAATAATCTTAAAGATGGATACACTAGTAAGCACTCTAACCACCTAAATCACTTAACACTAACATAGAATAGTTTTTAAAAAATCAAAAAAGCAAGAAAAATGGCAGTGCAAGAATACATCATACTGCTGAATCTTACATATTCCGAGGTACAAAATGAGAAGGTGAGGGAGGTGAAGCAATATAGCCAACTGGGCCAGGATTCATAGCACCAAAAATGTGAGGAGAACCACCATATGCTGCACCAATGGGATGCCAAGGGGCAACATATGAAAACTCCGGCATAACAGGAAGGCAGGAATCAAAACCAGGCAAAGTTGGCTGCCCACAGTGATCTGTCATCACTGGATAATAGACTGTTCCATGAGGGACAGATGCAGGGTCAGCATTTGGAAAAGTACCTGAAACAAATACTGCATTTAGTACATTTTATATACAAAGATTCATTAAACAAAACTATAAATGAATGTTTTTATATGTAAAAATGAAATTATCACTAACTATAGTAAAGATCACAGAAATTGCAGCAGGAGCAGTTTAGATATAAAATTTGACTAAAACAGACTACTAAAAGATTATATGAGCATTTCCTAATTGGAAAATATTATACACATATGCATACACGTGCATGTATATAATATGTCAAATATATTCTACCTAGTGGTAGCTGTCTCTCTGGGATGATTTTTGCACCAACAGACTAAATACATAAACATTTGTTAGAATCCTTCTAGTCAACTAAATTCTAATAAGAGTTGCTCACAACCAAGTTAGCCACTAGATTTCCAATATAACACATACCATCTAGATGACTATTTTTTATTACTTTTGCAATTAAAAACTCAATGTCTATATAGCCTTGTCTACACTTCAAGGTATAGTTCTGAAGGACATTTAAACATTTAAGTGCCACCTCTTGAATGTCATTAAGATTCTATCATATATTCAATTTAATAGCAGTTTTACTATCATGAGTCAGTATCAGTGGAAATAGATGTTGGTGTGACCTTACTATATATTGACTACATATAAATATTAAACAAAAAGAAGTACCTTCATTACTTGTGATAACTTAGATTAGCTCATTCTGTGAAATTAAGACCACCACTGTCTCATGGTTTACTATAAATAAAACATAGATCTATAAGAGGTATCTGGCACAAAAATGCAATAAAGGTTGATACTTTAATTTTTATTACCATGGGCCACATCACACCACCATACTAGAAGTAAGATTCTATAGTGCTAATATTCCAAAACCATTAACATGCTTTAAAAAGGGAGGAAAGGAAATGCACATTCCTCCCATGCACCAGGCACAGTATACTTATACATAAAGTCTCTATTCATCCTTATAACAACCCTGGCAAGTCAGGTATTTCCAGTTTTACAGAAAATTAGACTTAGGGAGGCTAAGTAACTTAGCCAAGATCACAACCATTGAGTAGCAGTGCTGGAATGAGAAACACATTTCGTTAGGTTAGTCCACACTATTTCTTCTTACCTTCAGCTGATTCTTTCCAAGAAATGCCATCCAATGATCCTATTCTAAAACCTTCAAAATGCAACCATCCTTTTTAGTCTTAAGATTCCTTTACACTTAAAGATTGAGGATCCCAAATAGCTTTTGTTTATGTGGCTTATATTTATAAATATTTACTATATTAAGTATTAAACTGAGAAACTGAAAAATATTAATTCATGTAAAAATAAGCCCTTAATGTTAACACAAATTCTTTATGCTAAATGCATTTATTATCCTAAACAAAAGAAAATTGTCATAAGTGGAATTATTTCACACTTCTGCAAGTCTCTAATGTATGGTTTAATAGAAAACAGCTGGATTCTCAAATCTGCTTCTGTATTTAATCTATTATGTTGTTTTGGTTGAAGTATATGAAGAAAATCTGGCTTCATACAGATATGTACTTGGAAAAGAGAAGTCTTTTAGTAAGTAGTTCGTTATTGTAGATCTTCGATGTTACAACAAAACTAGGTTAGTAGTTTGTTATACATCAACTAGAGGCCTGGTGCACGAAATTCATGCACTTGGGGGAAGGGGTCCCCGCAGCCAGCCTGCACCCTCTTGCACTTCAGGAACTCTCAGGGGATGTCTGACTGATGGCTTAGGCTCACTCTCTGTGGGGAGTGGGACTAAGCCAGCAGTCAGACATCCTGCCACTGTCACTATGCTCACCAGCCATGAGCCTGGCTTCTGGCTGAGTGGCACTCCCCCTGTGGGACGGCACTGACCACCAGGGGACAGCTCTTGCGTTGAGCATCTTCCCCCTGGTCGTCAGTGCACGTAATAGCGACCAGTCATCCCACTATTTGGTCTATTTGCATATTAGCCTTTTATTATATAGGCTACCAATGCAATTTTTCATACTTTGCTAATATGAAAATCAGTTTTATCTTGCATTTTTATATATCTTTTATAAAATTATGTACAGGTAACATCATGCATTAGTAACTGGGAAAATATTATTTCACTGAGTTATGCAGTTTGAGACTGAAAGAATAGTTGCTTTGTCTATGAGTTCCCAAATGCTGATACCATTACATTACACATGTAAAAAACACATTCATTAATAGCCCCAAGCTGTTAACATCAGGGTGGTAGATACAAGTTTTCCAAAATGTTAACTTTCATTTTAAATTTTTATCTTAGACAACAAATACTATCCTTTGTTTTTATTGAAGTGGCAGGCTCATGCTGTTCATTTGAGAAAATGTGTGCCAGATCCCCCAGTCTGAATAACCATTGTTTGTCTATCATTCTTTCAAGGAAAAATAGCATTCCATGAAAAACGTTAGCTAGTTAATCTCAGAACTCAATATCATCAATCTTTTAAGTTAACCATATTTCAGTATGCATAATGCCTGATGACTACCTCCCAGTTTTTTCAAACAGAGTATGTACAATTATTCAAAGACAAATATTTAATAAAAATAAAAACATCTTTGATGAAGTAAAAAAAAAAAAAAAAGAAATCAAATCGGAATTTTTATCACGAGAGTGTGGCAGTGAGGAAGTCATTGATTCCTTACATAGTTTGATATCTCTGCCTTGATTTGTGCTTATGTGCCAGCAGTTTTGCCCACCTGATTTTTACACTCTTAATGCAAATGTAACAGAGTGAAAGGGACAAAGAAAATCTGTGTATTATGATAAATACTTCTGGCCTCATGGATCCCTTCAGAGGGTCTGCGGGAACCCATGTACCATCCTTTGAGAAACAATGATCTAGTATTTGGACCTAACACAATATCTGAAGGTCATTATTAAATATACACAATAAAATCCAATTGTCTTTCTTCCAGGCAATCTCATTACATGCTCACCATTTGTTGATGCTTCTACCTGCACGCCATCTTGTCTTCCCACATCACTGTACAACTGAGGAACGGTCTGATCTACCAGAGTAGGTGTATCAGTACAAATGGGATAATTCTCTACGTGAAAATGCTGCTGCTGCATCTGTGGCACACAGACCATGGAGTGCCAGTAGTTGTGATGATAGCACTTGGGCAAGAAAGGGAAAAAACAAACACTTGAAGAAAATGGGCATTTTTTTAAAGTAGTACAGTTCCTGTCTAAAAAAAAAAAAAAGTTGGGCCATAATTTTCAAGTGGGGTAACAATGATTTTTTTTTACTTAAAAGATATAGAAAACCTATTCTCTATTACAACTTTAAGATCTTTTGCAGCATCTGTATTTCATATTTAGACTTAGAAATTCTTTTTTTTAAAATATATTTTATTGATTTTTAACAGAGAGAAAGGGAGAGAGATAGAGAGCTAGAAATGTCGATGAGAGAGAAACATCGACCAGCTGCCTCTTGCACACCCCCTACTGGGGATGTGCCCGCAACCAAGGTACATGCCCTTGACCGGAATCAAACCTGGGACCTTTCAGTCCGCAGACAGACGCTCTACCACTGAGCCAAACCGGTTTTGGCTAGAAATTCTTTTCGGAAAGCAAGTGAAGGAAATTAGAGATATACACAATGTCATGCATACAGATATGCCTTTAATAGCATTATTTTCAAAAGCAAAACACATTAAACCTAAATATTAAACAACAGGGGACTACATGAATGAATTATGATATATCCATGATAGAACACAATATAAGAAATTTAAAAAGTCATATTGTCAAATATATTTTAGACACTCATATTATTGCCCTAGCCAGTTTTGCTCAGTGGCTAGAGCATCGGCCTGTAGACTAAAGGATCCCAGGTTCTATTCCGATTAAGGGCACATGCTTGGGTTGTGGCTTGATCCCTGGTAGGGGGGGTGCAGGCAGCAGCCGATCAATGATTCTCTCTCATCATTGATGTTTCTATCTCTCTCTCCCTCCCTTCCTCTCTGAAATCAATCCTATATAATAAAGAGGTAATATGCAAATTGACCATCACACCTTCGCACAAGATGGCCACCTCCATGTGGTCACAAGATGAACAGCAGGGGAGGGCAGTTAGGGGCTACCAGGACAGCAGGGGAAGGCAGTTGTGGGGGACCAAATCTGCAGGGGAGGGCAGATAGGGGCAACCAGGCCAGCAGAGGAACAGCTAGCTGTTGATCAAGCTGGCATGGGAGTGTTTAGGGGGTGATCAGGCTGGAAGGTAGAAGCAGTTAGGGGCAATCAGGCAGGCGAGCTGTTGGGAGCCAGCAGCCCCGAATTGTGAGAAGGACATCTCACTACCAGTTTAGGCCCGATCCTTGTGGGCCTAAACTGGCAGACTGACATCCCACGAAAGGTCCCATTTTGGAGAGGGTACAGTCTGGGCTGAGGGACACTGCCTCTTACCCCCCATGCATGAATTTCATGCATGGGATCTCTAGTAAAAATATGTTTGAAAACAACAAAAAACCTGTTCATATTATTAAAATTTCACAAAATACGATCATAGTCCAAATTTTGTAAAATAAACTGAAAAATTTATCAAAGTATACTGTGATTATATAGATAATTTTGGTTTTCTTTATACCATAACATTTTTCAGATGTACTAAAATGAATGCTATTCCATTCAATATAAAAGTATTAATATATTTTTCTATATTTCCTTATATTCCCATGATGTTAAATACAGGAAGAATATTTTAAAATACTTCAGTCTTGTGGAATGAATTAGAATATTTCAATATACTATCTAATAAAAAGAGTAATATGCAAATTGGCCACACCTCCACTACACCTACAAGTCATGCCTACCAGCCAATCAGGAGCGAGTATGCAAATTAACCCAACCAAGATGGCTGCAGCACAGAGCAAGGAGGCGGCTTGAGTTTCCCTGGCAATGGAGGAAGCTAAGCTTTCTACCTGCAATGGCCTGCCTTGGCCTCCGCTTAAGGCTACAAAGCTTCAATTATAGAAGATAAATAAATCCCAACAAAAATGGCTGCAGCCTCGGATTGAGCAGGAGGCTTGGCTCAACTGAAGGCTACAAAGTTTCAATTATAGAAGACAAATAAATCCCAGATACCAGGACCTCAATTTGGGTCGCTGGGGGGGGGGGGGGGGGGGCGTGGCCAACCTGAAACCACCACAGGCTCCTCGCCCAGGCCGCCTCACACCCCAAGGGAACCCACACCCTGATCTGGAACACCCTTCAGGGCAAACCAGTCAGCCTCTACCTGTGCACCAGGCCTCTATCCTACCTAATAAGAGTAATATGCAAATTGACCATTATTCCAACACACAAGATGGCTGCCCCCATGTGGTCAAATATGACTGCCCCATGTGGACATAAGATAGCCGCCACAAGAAGACCAGCAGGGGAAGGCAGTTGGGAGGGGCCAGGCTTGTAAGGGAGGGCAGTTGGGGGTGACCAGGTTAGCAGAGGAGGGAAGTTGGGGGTGACCGGGTCTGCAGGGAAGGGCAGTTCGGGGGGACCAAGGCCTGCAGGGGAGAGCAGTTAGGGGCAAACAGGATGGCAGAGGAGCAGTTAGGCATCAGTCAGGCTGGAAGGGGAATGGTAATGGGGTGATTAAGCTGACAGGCAGAAGCGGTTAGGGGCAATCAGGCAGGCGAGCTGTTGGGAGCCAGCAGTCCTGAATTGTGAAAGGGATATCCAACTGCCCTTTTAGGTCCAATCCCAGTAGGATCGGGCCTAAACAGGCAGTCAGACATACCTAAAGGGGTCCCAGATGGAGAGGGTGCAGGCTGGGCTGAGGGACAGACACCCCTGTGCACAAATTTTGTGCACCGGGGCCTCTTGTGTGACTATAATAATCTAACATAACTGAAGTGGCAGGAAGTTTATCTTTCCAATTCTCAAATTTCTTTTATGAAATATAGTCTCAAAGAACAAAAAAAAAAAAAAAACACTCCATACTCTTAATTTATAAATGTCTCACAGTTGGAGAAGATAACTTTCTGGAAATTTTATGTCCAAGGTTTTAAGGAAATCAATGTCTGGGAAAATTAAGAATAGTAAATATCCAGGAGACTATCTAGTTTACTATCTGCCAAATATTACGATGCACATTACTTTTCAAGAAATATACCATTTTGTTATGTCAAAAGACAAGTGTATCTCAGAGGGAAAATGATCCCTGAAAGAATAAAATAAAAGAGGCCTTACCTGAAATCAGAGATAACTTTCAGTGATACTAAGGTATTTGTCAGTACCCACATTTTACAACTCAGGGAAGTGGTGAAAATCAAGTGTTTTGCAAATATCTATGAATAAGCAAGTGCTTAAAAGTATTACAGTTCTTTAAATGTCTGAATTTGTCAGGTTACTTTTCACATGAAATACAGAAATAGCCATAAAAATATTTTAAGCAGGATAAATAACCCAATTATTATTTTGAGACAGAACAACATAGTGAAGTGTTGGCACATGATGTTAAATATGGAGGCCAATATGTGCTAAAATTGTGCTGCTTAGAGTCTCTGCTCACCACAATTTAACAACTATATTATAAAGAAACAGAAGCACTAAGAGGCTAAAGTAGAAAAATGACCTATATAATCTTTACAGATATTTCATAACAACAGAAATAAAACTTTTAGAGCCTTCAAAATATTCATGACTTTGAAAGTTTAAGAGTCTGATTATCAAAATATCATCTACTGTATTTTAATAAAAAGTTTATAAAAGCAATTTTAACAGGACTCTTACCTGCAATCCCAGATTAAAATAGTACTGCAAAACTTTTGTATCTAAAATTAAAAATTTTTAAATTTTAGTGACTAGATGATATAAACAATTAGAACTACCATTTAAAAGCTTTTGTTTAAGTATTAAGGTAGATAACTAATATAGTCTCCTGACATCAACTCACCACTCAAGTCTATCTTACAGCAAATGACCATTTACCTACAACTACAGGTAAGGTCATTTTCTGATCCAAGGTTTAAATCACCAAATATATATTCTATTTCTATTCTTAATATTAGCAAATATTACAGAAATGTCACTCTACTAATATTTAAGAAGAATCGGTAAAGGCATTTTCTTGCTCATCCCAAGGCTAAAATTTTACTTCAATACAAATGTACTACCTAAGCAATCATATTGGTTCTCATATGAAGCTACTACATAGTACAAATTAAATGCTCTATTAATACTGAGATATAAGTGATGCTACGGAGATAACTACTACTTACAAAGTAATTTACTTTGGTTTTAATTAACACGACTAACCACCAGTAGAATTCCAAAAAGAGGAGGTAATGAGCAAGGTAACTCAAAATAAGTTAAATTATAAGGTGATAAAATTTCTCCAGATATCATATATCCATAGCAATATTATTCATAATAGCAAAAAAGTGAAAACAACCCAAATGCCTATCAACCAATAGATAATAAAATGTGGTGTTATCCATACAATGGAACATTAGTCAGCCATAAAAAGAAATGAAGTACTAATACATGATACACTGTTAACAAAATAGGAAATTAAGAAGAGTTAATATTTTATATGGTCTGGAGAAAAGAAGGGAGATAAAAATGAGTACATCATCATAGTCAGGTTTTAAGTGAAAGTAAGAAAGCCAAGGGAAAATGATTACCAAGTAGAAATAACTGTTTGACATTGAAATTGGGAATGAAAAGAACTGTTGGCCCAGAATGAAACTCACTACAGACTCAGCATAACCATTATTGCTTGTCTCATTTTCGGTTCTTATAAGTGTATTTTCTAGTATCACATGATCTCACTCATCTAGGGGAAATAATGAACAACATAAACTGATGAACAAAACCAGACCCAGAGACAGGGAAGCATTGATCAGACTGTCAAATCTCAGAGGAAAGGTAGGGGAGGATGGGGGTAAGGAGGAGAGATCAATCAAAGGACCTGTATGCATGCATATAAGCCTAATCAGTGGTCACAGACAACAAGGGGATAGGGGCATGTGTGGGGAGGAGTGTGGGATGGGAATGGGGGGATGAGGACAAATATGTGATACCTTAATCAATAAAAAAATTTTTAAAAAAGAAAATGATTACCAAGTATCTAGAGACAAGAACCTGAAACTTTAAAGGCCAGGGTTAGATAGATTTAAGAATAATCTACATAAAGATGATACTGAAATTTCAAGGCACAGAAAAAGAACAGAATAGAGTTGAAGATGATATTGGTGACTACCTTAGGGGCTGGGGAAAAAATAACAAAATAGAAAAGCAGCTATAAAATTCAAGAGAATGTTATAGCAAAGAATGTATAAATGTTATAGCAAAGAAAGTATAAAGCTACAAACAATTTTCAACTACAATTCTCTTTTGAGAAACTGCCAAACTGAGGCGTAACAAAGAATATCCAATAGAAAGCTACTCCTCCTTAGTTTAATTATAGAAACAAGTATATATGGCTGAGATCCAAGGCATATTAGATCCCTAATTCCTAAAAAACAAAAACAAAACCACCTTATTCCAAGTCTTGAAAATTCAGTTGGAATCCCAAATATTAAATGTCAAAGATCATAAAAATTTCATATATTTGTGGTAAGAATTTAAGAAAATGGAGAAAATTATGTATTGATTCCTGCTTCTCAAGAAAAACAGTTGAGAGAGCAAAGACATCAAGTTGAGAATCATCTCCAAAGCAGACATAGCTAACAAAAAGGAGCAGCAGGAGTGAAATCAACCATCTACTTCTTGATTATGCAGAAGTTATTTTCAGCTTTCAGTTGCTCCTTTCCTTAGTCACTTACTTAGCATTATGCTCTCAAGTCAATTTGCTTTTGGTCCCCCACCCTACTCCTATTGGATAACCAGAGTTCTGCTCTAAAAAAAAAAAATCCCAGATATAAATAACCCTTATCCAAGTCTCAAAATCCACTCACCTTGAGGCAGATCACTGCCACTTGGATCATAGGAATAAGGTGGAGGTGGTGGTGGTAAGTTTGAAGCCTCTCCCACCTCAAGAGGAAAAGGAGGAGGTAGGGGAGGAGGAAATGGAGGTGGTGGCAGAGGCGCAGCAACAGCAGGCACATGAGCAGAGAGGTATGGATAGGATGGTGAAACAATCACTAAAAAGGAAACAAAACATAAAGTAACAATGCATAACTGTAAGTTAATCTATTTCTTCTGTATCCCAGCATGGTCAAATGGCTCAAATTCTTATAGTTGGACTTAAAAACCAAAACTTGGAAGATGAATTGCTCCATATTCTCTTAGATATGCCAGCTGAAAACTAGTTCATTACAGGTCATTTTCAGTTAAGGAAATTACTTGAAATTAGAAGGAAAAACTGGAAATTTCAGAACTTTGACTATCAAGATGTGGAATATCAGCTAACAGATACATAAATAAAATATCAGTAAAGCAAAAGTTTTACTTTAGTTTAATAAAAAGTTAAAGAAGTTGTCAGCTATCGGAAATTCTTAGTCAAATCACAAGATGCAGAAGCTCATAAGAGAGACTAATCTGCACAGATTACAAATTTAGGTAACATTTGAAAGTTTCTATTTCATAGCATCAGAGGAGTATCAGGACAGGCTAGATAAAATATGTTATCCCTGTACCTTTTTCTTTTTAAAAATTTATCTTTATAGTTGAAAGTATTACAGATGTCCCCTTTGTTTTTTTTATTTTTCTCATTGACCCCTTCCACCCGTCACCCATCTCTCCCAAGCCCTTATCACACTATTGTCTGTGTCCATGGGCTATGCATATCCTATATAATAAAGACCTAATATACAAATAGTCGCCAAGCCCTCGCGCCCTCACACTGGGCCAGGGGATCTGAGGTCATGTCCCCCGCCTGAGGCTGCTCCCCCCCCCAACCGTGGGGGCTTAACAGGGGAACTGAGGCCACATCCCCTGCCCCAGCGATGGGGTTGGGTTGGGGGACTTGAGGCCATACCCCCTGCCCAGCAAGGCTTGACAGGGGACCTGAAGTTGAGCCCCCTGCCCAGCCCCAGGCTGGGGGAGGTGAGGCTGTGCCCCCTGCTTCTGTGGGGCTTGACTGGGTGGGGCCAGGCGAGTCTGGATCTCTTGCGATTTTGATGCCCATGCATGGGCAGGTCCTGTGGCGCACCCCAGACTCTGACAGGAGTGAGACTGTCATATACATTTTACTAATTCTCTTTTATCTCTGACACTTCTATTAAAGAGAAAGGGCAAATAGCATTATTAAAATATTTCCTCTAATTAATTCCCTTTTAATGCGTATGAGTTTCCTGCACCGAGCCACTAGTATGCATATAATTTCCCTCTCCCCCACCTCCATCCTTTAACTTTGTGTATACTTGTTACTATAGTTTAAAACAAATATTCACTTAGAATTTTTAAAGTTTTTGATATAAGAAATTAAATTATAATTATATTTAAGTATTAATACATTCCTTTATGATAAAAAGGAAACAATATGGTTCCAACTTAGTAAAAATATATATATGTGTGTGTGTGTGTATGTATATATATGCCAGATAAGTCTATTAAATTTTTTTGTCAAAACATGAATGATATAACCTCCTTCAAGTTTAATTGAATATTTTAGCCAACTTAGAAATCCAAGTACTTTCCTTCTGTACATATCTTTTTAAAAAACATACATAGAAACTTAGGCACTTGGCTGGTTTTTTCTTTTCTAAATTTGAAAAGCCTAATATTGATTTGTATGTCAATATTTTGCAACTGATTCCCTATGTAGAATTAATTTTAAAACTTGAAAACTTCCAGATTTAAACAATTTATGAATAATGTATTTCTTCAACTAGCTTCCTTAAACACTAACCCCTCTGAAGTATTTACTGTGCAATAACCAATTCATTTTTAAGAACTTTAAGTAACAAATGATCTTTATTTCTGTTATTCAGTGTCACTTCCAAGAAGAAAAACTGTTCTCTTGTGAAAAAAAAGTTTTTTTTAATTTAATTAAAAAATTTCCATCACCATTTATCCCCTCTATGCCCTCTTCCACCTTCACTGACCACCCCGCCCCCCTGCCCCCGTTGTTCAGGTCCATGAGTTCTTTCACTTTTTGCTCAATCCCTCCCCCTCAATACACCTGTACACACCCCTACACAGAGCAGATGCAACCTCCGAGCAAGCAGTCTATCTATGAGTCTGTTTCTATTTCGCTTGGTATAATAGTTCAGTTTGTTCATTAGATTCCACATGAGTGAAAACATATGGCACTTGTCTTTCTCTGACTGGCTTATTTCACTTATAAACAGCTCTTAATTCTTAAGGTTATTAATAACAGGGTAGAATTATATGAAATTAAGAGACCTGGTGCAAAGATTCAGGCACTGGTGGGGCCCCTCAGCCTGGCCTGTGCACTCTCACAATTCAGGACCCCTTGGGGGGTTAGAGAGTCGGTTTTGGCCCGATCCCCACAGGCTAGGTTGAGGGGCCCCACCAGTGCACGATGCCTCTAGTATGCATATAAGATCTTTGGTGAATCTCTTCCTTATCCCCCTCACCCACTTCCGAGATTCATCAGTCTGTTCTATGTTTCCATGACTGTGGTTTCTGCCCCTGTGCCCCCTGGTGGTCAGTGCATGTCATAGCTACTGGCTAGTCAGCTGGTCACTTAGGCTTTTATGTATATATATCGATTACCTTCAACTACTTGATGTTAAACACCATATACTTTCTGCATTGCCCAGACATTATTATTACAAGGAGATAGTCCTTCTGTCTTTTATTTTATTTTTTCTTCTTTATTAAGGTATTACATTTATATCCTTATCCCCCCATTGCCCTCAACCCCTGCTCATGCCCTCACCCCTCACCCCCCCCCCCGTGTCTGTGCCCATTGGTTATGCTTATATGCATGTATCCAAGTTCTTTAGTAGTTCTTCTGTCTTTTAGACTAACTAGTACAGTACTGCCAAGATAATGGGGCCAGTGACTTAAATAGAAATAATCTGGTTTTGTGAGTTTATTTGTAAAAATGAAAGTAATTTAGATTTGTTCTCCTCATAATAGATGGTTTTTAAGTAAGTTTTATCCATTCAGAACTCTTTGTTTTTATGGACAAAAAAGAAGATGGTTTCTTATTTGATTGTATATGTCATAAATAAATATGTAAAGTAACAACCAAGTGTTATTAGAATTATTCCTTTAGCATTTATCATTTTAACTATTTTATTTCTTATCATTTTAACTATTTTAGTCAAAAGTGGTTGAGATGTTAACACTATTCTTTGAAAGACTAAAGGGTTTATAAATGTTTGAGTTATCACATGAAGGCTAATTTCTAAAAACAAAATAAAACAATAAAATATTTATTTTTTCTAAAAAATAAGACAAAGTAATTCAATTACTAAGTTTTATTATTGGGTTAACTACACTATAATTTTTAACTTGAGAAGTACACAAAGTTTAGTCTCATTGTTCAATATAGTTGTTTAAATTCAGAGTTTTAGAAAACCTAGTTTAATACAGCAACTGTCCACACAAGTTGAATATATTATTCTGGTAATTTAGCTGGAGAAATTTCAGGCCAAGTATTAGGAATAATACCACATTTTTTCATTTACCAATATAAATATTAATGATAAAATTATCTATACCCTTTATACAGCTTCAGGCTAAGAGTAAAAGGAGGCAGTTTCTTAGGGTAATTTAAAACTTGATAAAAGCTCTTTGGGGGGGTGATTCTTTCTTGACTATAGAGGTTATACAACTCTATTAATTGTCAAAACACACAACTGAGTGCTAAAAAAATAAATTTTACTATATATACACTGAGTGGACAGATTATGATCTCTGAACACATAATAATCTGGCCACTCAGAGTATGTGTGTGTGTGTGTGTGTGTGTATTAGAGGCTCGATGCATGAATTCGTGTATGGGTGGGGTCCAGATAGTTTTTCACACTGATGTTCCTCCCCTCTCCCCTAAAAATCAACAACAACCTATCCTCTGGTGAGGATTAAAAAAGAAAATTCTAAAATATAGGATATCAGCCTGCACTGGCATGACATAACCTCAAGAGTGAATCCCTTTCTCAGTTCACCCTAGGTCTGGCCCACAGATACTGTCTTTAGGGCAAGTGAGTCATTAGTGTGTCCCTGGCAAAAGCCTATGAAACAGTAACCAAAAGTCAGTTATAAAAGAATTTGATGTCTATGAAGAGTCTCATAGTAAAGACAATCATGGCATCTAGTTACCTGGCAGATAGGAAGTAACTTGCAGGGGGCTGAGCTGGGCTGCTAGACAGTCATGTGAATAACTACAGAAAACATATGTTGTTTCATCTAGAGCAGGGGTAGGGAACCTTTTTTCTGCTAAGGGCCATTTGGATACTTAGAACACCATTTGAGAGTCATATAAAATTGCAATAGGTCCTCAGGTTATGCTGGAGATCCATTCCTATGGTGCGAAGTAACACAATTTTTGCCATAATTCAGAACCCACCTACATAAGCACCTACGTCACTCACGTGGAGCACATAGACAGCAATAATGAAGTGAAATAGTAAAAAAAAAATTAAAAGATAACAATTCCTGACCTTTACTTGTGGTAAATAAATAATAACAAACATAAAGCACATATGTAACTACGTCAAAATGACGGAACTTTTAAGAAAATATATAAGCCAAAGCCGGTTTGGCTCAGTGGTAGAGCGTCTGTCTGCGGGTCTGCAGACTGAAGGGTCCCGGGTTCGATTCTGGTCCAGGGCACGTGCACTGGTTGCAGGCACATCCCCGGTGGGGGGGGTGGTGCAGGAGGCAGCTGGTCGATGTTTCTCTCATCGACGTTTCTAGGTCTCTCTCTCTCTCCCTTCCTCTCTGTAAAAATATCAAGAAAATATATTTTATATATATAAATGGGAGATGGCGATGTAACCACTAAACAATGTACATTAAGTCCGAAGTAACCCGAGGACTGCCTATATTAACTTAAAAATTAGTCTGCTATATTTGGTTAAACATTTAATTAACTCAGCCCTAATGCCTTGGTAGGGCCAGACCAAATGATTTTGCACGTCTTGTATGGCCCAAGGGCCAGATAGTCCCCTGCCCTGATCTAGAGGAATGATAAAGAGTAACTAAAAAGCATCATCCCCTGGTGGTATATAATAGAATTATAATTGAAGTTCATAAGTTACTCAAAGAATGAAAAGTAACATAAATGAAAGCAGTATACATTTTCAGAAATACCTATACAGAACACAAATTTGGCATTTATAGTAAGCATTCAATGATTCTATATAAATGAGGCATTACAATGCTTGATACACCTGTCATTTGATTTTTTTAAAGCTCAGAAGTCTTATGGAAGCAGACAGCCAACACTTTCCCCTACAATTAATCCCAAAGTAGTACAACTAGGGTCTACATTAACATTTACAGTGAAAACTTTGTATGGTCATTAACTAACATATATTGCATGTTTTTGTTATAGACACTGGTCTACTGAGAACTTGATTTTTAAATTATAAGTGAAACAGATACAGATAAATGATTTTAAGGTAGACACTATGCAGGTCAATAAATAAAACTTAACCAGCCACTCCAGAAAACTTCCATGCTCCTTATCCCAATTACAAAACCTCTCCCTCGACCATAATTAACCATTAACCTGACTTTCATAGTAATCACTTCCTATATTTTCTTTTTTTATTATTATTACAGATATCTCCCATTTTCCTTCTTACCCACTTTCCTCCCAGCCCCTATCCCCTACCTGGTGTTCACTACACTATTGTCCATGTCCATAGGTTATGCATATAAGTATATAAATTATTTGTTTTATCTTTTCTTGTTCCCCCCAACCCCACATTGAGATATGCCAGTCTGTTCCATGCCTCCATGATTCAGGTCTTATTTTGTTGGTCAATTCAATTTGTTCATTATATACCACAAATAAGATAACGTGATATTTGTTTTCTTCAGTTTGGCTTATTTCACTTAGCATATTTTCTAGGTCTACCCATGCTGTCCCAAAGGTAACAGACTTCTCTTTTATTTTAAAATATTGATTTCAGAGAGGAAGGGAGGAGAAGAGAGACAAGCATCAATGATGAAAGAGAATCATTGATGAGCTGCCTTCTGCATGCCCAGATTGGGAATTGAGCTTGCAACCTGGGCATGTGCCCTGACTGGGACTGGGAATTGAACCGTGACCTGCTGGTTCATAGCTTGACGCTCAACCAATTAGCCACATTGGCTAGCACAATCTTTCTTTTTTATGGTTACATAATATTCCATAATGTAAATGTCCCTCAACTTTTTTATCCATTCATCTACTGGTGGGCACTTGGGCTATTTCCACATCTTAGCTATTGTAAATAATGCTGCTATGAACATATGGATGCATATATTCTTTCTGAATTGTTATTTTGGGGTTTTTAGGATATATTCCCAGAAGTGGGATTGCTGGGTCAAATGAAAGTTCCATTTTTAGTTTTTTGAGAAAATTCCATACTGTTTTCCATAGTGGCTGCGCCCCTCTGCATTCCCACTAGCAGTGAACTAGTGTCTCCTTTTCTTCAAGTTCCCGCCAGCACTTGTTAATTTTTTGATGAAAGCCATTCTGATTGGTGTGACTGATTAGTGACTGAACATCTGTGCTTTTAAGAGTTTTGTCACCCAAACGTGCATCCCTACACAGTTGTTTCAAGATGATGCCTTAAATCTCTCTTAATCTATTGTAATTTCTTTCCATCCCTGTAGTTTTCTTTCCATTTTTCTTTGTAGGAATCTGGGCCTTTTGACATGCTGAGTTTCCCAAAGTCTGGATTTTGTGGAATATATACCCATGATGCATTTCAATATGTTCTTCTGTATTTCTTGCAAATAGCCCCCTCAATTCAGAAGGCTGGGTCAAACTCAAAATTGATTTCTTTGGCATTTCTACAGGCAATGTCTTATTGTCTTTGCAACCTTAGCAGCTATTGCTGTTTAATACCCAATCCATTCAGTAAGGACTGCAAAATGATTATATTCTGCCACTTCTTTTTCAATGATTAATTGGAATACTAATACATAGAAACATTTCCCTTCTTCTATTTGGTTATCTAGTAGTATAGTAGTTAATATAAGGGGGAAAAAATACTTAATTCTTTCTATTTTATAGTTTTGAAGAAAATTCTTTCAAGGTATTTAAATACTTTCCAAGTATTATTAAGAATTTTTAAATTGAACATATTAAATATGTTCTTGCAATAATCACTGTTGAGGCTCAAATTATTCCATCTTTAGCCAGTGGGAACCTCTTCAAGATGGCTCCTGAGCCCTTTTGACATGACTCCAATAGTCTTTGTTAGCTTCCTTGCTATCTTCCTCCATACCTGCATTTAGTAATTTCTTCACATAACTTTTTACTTTTTTAAAAGTGAGAAATGTTATATTAAGACCAAAAACTTAGTGCTAAGAATACTCACTGTAGGCCTTTTCAGTGAACAAAGCTAGGAAATATACAAATATATTTAAAGATAAAACCTCAAGTTTATACTGATACTTTTAATTCAAACTTGAGACCATAAAAGCTTTTACTTAGACTTTTTATTACATCTAAAATACTTTTCTTCCATATATAGACTCCTGATTTGCAAGGACACGGGATAAAATTAGAATATCCAATAATCACTCATTTGTTTTAGCTGACATTAGTCTCATAACAATCTGAATAAAAGTACCCGAAATGTGATTATTGAGAGATTACAAAATGCTTGTACATGATCTCTCAATTCTTCCATTAAAAAATAGCTATACTTTATCCACATTGTCCAAACATATGGCCATTATATAGAATATTCTCAAACTCCCAGTCCTCGTTTTGCCTCCTGCACACACCACCACTGGGATCGAGCCCACAATCTGGGTATGTGCCCTCGATCAGAATAGAACCCGAGACCCTTCAGTCCACAGGTCAACACTTTATCCACTGAGCCAAATCAGCTAGGGCTGTTCATTTTTATGTGATATTATTTTTCATAAACTTTAGTATGAGGCAGAGTATAGGAAATCTTTTCTCATGTCATAGGGCTCTCTTTAGCTGTTATTTTCATGTAATGTTAAAAAAATATATATATATCACTGCTTTCTAGGATTCATAGCTCTGTTCTCCTCCCAACTTTATTCTGGACCTACTCTTTTCCCTATCCTGATCATTTTTATTCCAATTCCAGCAGTTCCTGCCCAGTAAAGAATACTATCCTAAAAGGCAGACCTGGCAGGTCAGTTATGAGAGTTCTTAAGAGCCAAAGTGCTTCAAGACCTTCAGTCCTATTACCATATACCCAAAGCACTCATCTAGTGTTGGATAGGTGAAATCCCTTCCTAATCTTAGCTGTTTCTTCTAAATTGGCTGCCCCCTTTTCCAGTGAATTCATATTAGTTCTTTTGGAGTTCTTTTGTTCTTAGTCCATTAGACAATATCTCGAATGCTTCTTTCTATCTTCTTGCCCCCACATAAACCCTGATAGCATGCAGGTCTTACGATGGGTGGTTTGTCACTACCTGTTTACATTTTGTGGTTCATGGAGATACCTTGTCATCTAGTTTTGTTGTATTGTCCATGGGTTTTCGTTTGCTATTTCAATTTTTACTAGGGGACTCAGATTGAAAAGCTATGCTATTGTGGCCACCACCTTCCCAGAGTTCTGCTAAGAATTTTATATTATATTATCTCATTGCAATTCCATAACCACTTCATAAATTGGTACTACCAGTACCCATAAGCTCATTGGTAAGAAAATTTCAATAACCTGTCCAAAATTACATAGCTAGTTAAATTGTAAAACCAAGATTCTAACCCAGATCTCAAATTCTAGCACCTATGTTCTTTATAACATTCATGGGAAAATGATTCATTGTATAGAAATGTATTTTATAGCAAACTTGTCAGGAGTTAATTCTGTGAAGTGTGAACACACTTTTACCTTAATTCCTATATAATAAAATTCAACTGGAAGTTTGAGAAACCAGTCCAAGTCCTTTAAATTTTCATCAGGGTAGCAAAGAGATAGCTACAAAATCAGATCAAAGCCAAATTTGCCAAAAAAAAAAAACCACAACAACACAGAAAAACAGACAAAAAAAAGCAAAAACCACCACCAACAACCAACCATTGAAACCCTGGCTCTCTCAAATTTTATGGATTCTTCAACAATAGAAGATATTTTATTAACTAGGTTAAACAAATGTAATTATGGAAGTGAAAGTAATCCTATCTAATCACTAGAACTACTGTGTGCATATTCCATGAATAGGAAAAGAAGCTTCCAAAGTAAGTAACCACTAATAACCTACCTGGCCTGCCTTGTGTAGGTGAAGATACAAATAGAGGCTGTATAGCCTTCTGTGAGGAAACTGAAGTGGTACTACTAGCTTGATTAGCTGCTGCACAGTTAGATAAGACTGGAACTGGAACATTATTGGCACAGGAAGCTGTAATTGCTGCAGAATTTACCATCACCTGTAAGTGTGAAAGAAAGTTTAGAATTCTAAGTTCCACTTCCCAAACACTATTAGTCTCCTATCTGATCCTACATTTCAGGAAATACTATTTTTTATTATATATCTCTATTTATTTGGGTCTTTAATGTCTCTCGGCAACATGTTGTCACTTCTAGCATACAAATTTTCCAGTTATATGTTAGATACATCCTTAAATATTTTGCGTTTTTCTTTTTAAATCTTTATTGTCGAAAGTATTACAGATGTTCCAATTTTCCCCTCACTGACCCCCACCACCCCGCTCCAGTATTTTGATTAGTAAAACATAAAGGAGTCAATCTTTATGTAAACCCTGTGTAGGCAAGTTAAGTTATTTCTCTTAGAAGACTCCAGATTACTTTGAGAACTTTTAATGTATTATTTTTTCTAAAAAGATAATATATTAATATGATTCAAAAATCAAGTGTTACATTGTGTAACAATGATATTTCCTTCCAATCCTTATATTCCATCTGCCTTGTTCCCTTATGCCCAAGCAGGTGACTTCAGTGTTTCCTGCATATTGTATAGAGATTTATACACAATTTAAACATAAAAGGTACTTGGATTTTCTTAAACTTTCTGACACTACAAATTATATTTCTGATTAGGCCACAGCACCAAATATAGGGCTATGCACAGAGAGATGTTCAATAAATATTCACAGACTCCTCTTCTTGAATACACTGTCCTCACTGCAGTCTTCATTTCCTTGCTACCCACCTAAGTGTGGCTGCTACCCCCTCTGGTCCTCATAAACAGTGGACTTCAAGGAAAAAAATTCTAGTAGATTCTTGTTAGTCCTTATGATGCTTGATCTCAGGAATAACTAACACCTTGGAACAGTCTCTTCCTGGGTTTCCCAAATATACTCTATTTACTCGCCCCTGACTTTTGCTTCTCTACCCATTTTCTAAAATTTGGTGATCCACAGGCTCTGTTCTAGATGTTCTTATCAATCTCTTCCTTTTCCCAGGATTATCTTATTCACTCTTATGATTTTAGCTATTATTTTGATACCAACTCCCCATTCTACAAGAAAGCTTTACATTTAAGTGTCAGTGTATAATGTTGATTTGACACATTATTTATATTAACTCACTCATTATAAGAGACTGGAACATAGTAGATGTTCAATTAATTGCATGAATTTACTAATCACTATGCAAGGCACCACAAGGTATAATACTTAAAATAGGGATATAAACAGCTTCTTTGAAATATGATGAGTGAAGAGAATAAAAAGAAAAAAAAAATTCATTTTCCCCCATTCAGATCACTGCAACTGACTCCTTAATAACACAATAAAGATTACCTCCTGGGGATAGTTGCATGAGGTAACTGTGTCCTGAGGAGACATAGAACATGGTCCTCTGTCCTGAAGAGACTTTAGTGAATACAGAAATACAGTTAAGGGCAAGTCAAGAAACCAAATAAGTATCAATAAAATATATGCTTTGTTTCAACATCTCCTAAAAGTGATCTGTTCTGAAAACATTCAAATTTGGAAGTGACTAAGATAATGCTCTAATCCACACCCTCTCCTCCATGCCTACTGCTATTGCCCTGATGATGGGGTCTTTGGTCCCCCTTGAATTGATTCATTTTATCAGCAGTTCTCAGTAAACTGAGGGCTGGATCCTAGAGGCGGATCTTAGCAGTTTGTAACCCTAATCTTCAGCAGCTTACTGGGGCAGAAAGGGGGTGTAGGAGGAAGACAGAGACTGAGAGACAGAGATTGAGATTGAGATTTCAACACATAAAAAATGTAATGACAATGAAGCAAAAAGAATTTGTATCAAATGAGTAGTATAGAGTATTTTGAATATTTCATGGTGGTAAGGTGTTTCCTACGTTTTGGAGCTTGGGAAGGATTCCTGATAGTGGTTCTTGTATGGTGTGAATGATTTTGATCGATTTGGAAGAGGGAGTGATGTTAGGATCAGGTTCCTTTAACATTTTCAAAGAGCTGCTTGAAAATCACTTCCTCCCCACATCAAAGACAGTTAAAAAAAAAAAAAAAGATAATGTTCCCAAAAGTATCACTCTAATGCTGCCTGATTTAGGTAACTATTCTATTTCCTTTCTACATCCAACTCTAGTCCCAAGGCAGACACTAAAATGTAACAGATGATTGTAATTTAAACACTTTCTTAGTGGCTTTCTTGACTTAAAAGTTTCAAAATCAGTAAGACCAACAACAGTTTTGCTAAAAGAAAGCATTCCATCTAAAGATGTAGTTTGGGACAAAGGTGGATAATTGGCTGGTCAGCTGCATCCTATTTAAGCAGGATATAGTATAATCCAAACACCACTCCCTCTGTCTCAAGACTATCTTTGTGAAAGCAAAATGATTTTGAAAGGCTCAGAATTATGCATGACATACTGTCATGATAGCAAAAACAAACAAGCAAGAAAACCAGTAGCAAAAATTGGTAATGATGATAAGAACAGAGGGAATCAGGGGAAGTAATCACAGAAACAGCAGAAATCATATGAGCCCAATTTAACATGGACTTAAGATTGCATGTTTCTAAATTTTGTGTTCAAGTATAGCCAAAATATCTGTCAAAAAGCAAACTTCAGTTCTGACTCATCGAGTACCCAGTGTGAATGCTAAACAAGTCTAGAGAAGGACTTAGTTCAAAGATGAACATGAAAATAAGACATATAAATAAATATTTATGGTTTCTTAGAACGCTCTATGCCTAGAAATCTTTAAGTCTTGCATTTTGTCCTCCTAAGAATACTGTGAGAAAATTACTTAGAAAATTGGTATGCATTTGGTGACTGAAGGGTGGGAATGGAAAAACATGAAAAGATTGAAAGCTATTGGGATTCATGATAAAATAAGAAAAAGAAACAAGTGAAATTAAAGGGTCATCTTTGACAGTCAAATTTTTACTTGCTTTTTTAGTTGGGTGACTATTTCAAAAAATGGTATAAAAAGCATGTGATATGAGAATAGTAATAAAAGAATGAAGGGACAAGTATTTCCCTAGAAGGGGCAAAGGAAATGAAGGGAAAATAGGAGAGAGAATTATGTATCAGTTTTCTTAACCTTCCTAAGAGTACATGAAGCTACCAAAGTTAAATTAATCAGAGTTAGGGAATAGAGTGTAGTTATTCAAGTTCTTCACAAAAATTCCAGTTTTCCCCCTGGGTACATGGCAGGTTGCTCTTCCTGGTCTCATTAAAGTTAAGTATGGCTATGAGACATGCTTGGCCAATGAAATATGAGCAGAAATATTAAAATCCAGTGTTCAATTATCCTACTTTTAGTCTGCCCAAAGTGACTGAAAGCTCATGTCTATCAGATCAGCCTGAGTCCCTTCATGACCATGATGAACAAAAGCTTGCATTGGACATATAACATTAGGGACAGCAACTGTCCTCTGTTAAGCTGTTCAAATTGGGGGAGGGAGGTGTTACTGCAGTCTAACCTAGCTTGATTAAAACATTAATTGGTAACTAGAAGTAAGGTGTTGTTCTAAGAAGAACCTAATTTAGGATGGAGATTATTAATTTGTAAGCTCTTAGTGGAAGAGGCAACTACTTCAACAACAACTGTAGAAGATAAAATTGATAAATGCTTTGAACAACAAAGAGCAGTTAAAACTCAGCCTTAAAGCAAGAATCACATTGTTGTTAAAAACTAATTGCAGTAAGATATGTCAAAACAAGACCCAGTGAATACTTGCACATGGACATAGTGGCTCATGGAAAAGCATCCAAAGATATGGATCTTTCATCAACGCCTGATAAGCTCATGATACTCAAGTAGAGAGAAACATAGAGATAAGAAAGCAAAACACTATAGCAAATCTAAGTAGTATATCTATTATTAAAAAGAACTGTCAGAAGGAATATTAACACATGAAACTAATAGGAATCAGACAGAGGTAGCATAATTAATCACACAGCCAGAGAAACCATCCAATTGAGATAAAATGACCCTTGGACCCCCAATTTTCTATGAGTAAAAAGCAGGCTGAGAAAGTTGCTCAGCTGCCAAGAATTATTCTTCAATGCTTACTTCAAATATGGTCAAAGACAGAAAGAAGGGACTTAGAATAACCAAGAGCCCTAGAAAAGAATGAACCAGTTCCTTCCAGAGAACAGTCCCCAGGCCTAGGTTGGGGGCCCTCCTAATGACTATCATGATGTCAGAATTGCTACAGGCGAGTAATTGTTTCTCTCTCATTTCCCCCTCCCCAAGTGGGAATTTTTTACTGCAATTTTTTCAGTCCCTGTTCCACCACTACAAATTGGGTTTGTGGGGGTAAACAACTTTGTATCTTTGACTTTAGCTTCCAGGTCAAGAAGAGTCATATCTGGACCCAATACAAAGAGTACCACAGATTTCCCAGAAACCTTGGGCAGTAAGTATAATTACACTGGAAGGAATTCTTTGGTTGTCTTCCCTGAGGAGGAAGCAAGTATTCTGCCTATGGGAGGAGTTTGAATTGCATGCTACACTATTTAGTGTTGTTAAAATATTTCCAACTTTTTTACTTCCAGGCACAGAAAAATTAGATTCTTTAGTAGGACATGCTATGGCCAATGAAAAAGAAATGGAAAAGGAAGTGACACATGCCATCTCTAGTGCACCATTCATTAGCTTTTGTTTCCTGCCTTGGCAATCATGGATGGAGCTTCCATCAGCCTGAGTCCCTGAGCAGGGCCCTCCTGCTGCAAACTTATTTATGGTCCATCCTTACTGTTAGAAAAATCGTAGTAAATTCCTCTAAAAATTATTACTGCCAATGTTTGAACTTCCTCATGTATCAACACATATTAGAAATAGCTCTAAATAGACTAATTTCAGAAAGGGGGCGTGATTTTGGATGAGTTACTCAATTTCTGGGTCTCAATTTCTTCATCTACAAAATGGAAATGATACCCTGATTACCTCATATGATTGTTCTGATTTAAATACACTTATATGTATAGATCTTAGAATAGGGCCCTAGTACAGTCACAGTACCTACCAAGTTTGCTGTAGATTCAGTTGTGCTATAAACATCTGAAGTTTCATAGTCTGGTTCTAGAGGATATTGCCAAAGTAAAGTCAAAAGTGAGCATTATTTAATAGTTTGAAATTTATAAACAATAAAAAATATCATAGATTCTACCTATATCTCACTGACCTGAAGGATAAATATATTCTTCATTATATCCCCCTAGAAAAAAAGACAGAAGAGTATGTTTGTATGTTTATGTAGAGCTTTTTAACTCAGCACAGCCAGATGGTTAGCACTTGCTTTCTTCTCAAGTTTTGTAGATATGTAGGTTCAAAACTAAAACATATACATCCTTGCACCAATTGACTTGAGCTTTTGTACTAGTGAAAAGATACGGAAGCCACAGATTGGCTATAAATTGTATGAATTTCTCCTCTGAAAATTCCCTTAGTTTTTAATGTTCAGGTAAAATTGAAAAATACAGCTGTGTCCAATTTTCCAGTCAGGCCATAGACTACAGTGATTAAGTTTACAACCGTGGGGTTAGGGCTAGATTTGAATCTTAATAATACCACTCTTTGTGCCTTACTTTCTTCACTATAATACAGGAATAATAGTACCTAGGGGAGTGAAAAGAATACAGCATGATGCTTGACATATAGTAAATGGTGACTATAACTTGAGTATAACCCATAATTTGTTTAGGGGGACATCATTGGGATATATCATGCCTCATTTGTTTTTTACCCTGTCAAGTAAATAATACATTTAAAATCGGTCTATTCTCATAGGATGGCTCAGTAGATTGACGTACTTTGCTTTAAGATAGCTATACCAATGAAACAGAGAATGCCAATCTTAAATAGCTTTCACTAAATAAAATCCATAGGTCAAAACTGGATTTGATTCTTTTTTTAAAAAATATATTTTATTGATTTTGTACAGAGAGGAAGGGAGGAGATAGAGAGCTAGAAACATCGATGAGAGAGAGTCATCAACCAGCTGCCTCTTGCACACCCCCTACTGGGGATGTGCCCGCAACCAAGGTACATGCCCTTGACCGGAATCGAACCCGGGTCCCTTAAGTCCCCAAGCCGACGCTCTATCCATTGAGCCAAACCGGTCTCGGCATGGATTTGATTCTTTTTTTTAATGTTCTTTTTTTTTTTTTTTTAAATATTCAGAGAAGAAGGAAGAGGGAGAGAGAGATAGAAACATCAATGATGAGAGAGAATCACTCTCCCTCATACATGCCCCACAATGGAGATCAAGTCTGCAACCCAGGCATGTGCCCTTTGACAAGAATCGAACCCAGGATCCCTCAGTCCGCAGGCCAATGCTCTATCCACTGAGCCAAACCAACTAGGGTGGATTTGATTCTTAAACACATTATTTATCAAACACACATGCATTAACCCCTCCAGACAGCAGGATTTTATGTGAGAACAAAGATTTGGTTGTTCTAAATATGCCATTACAGGTGAGCAATACATCTGAAGATGCCCACCGTGCTAAAGGGAAAGACAAAAGGGTTATGCTGAGTAAAAGAGCAAAGTGTATACATCCTTCACATGCATGCACATGCACATATAAAATATTCGCAATTATCCTTGTGCTAGATTGTTTTCCTAGAAATATCTATTTTCTTCTACATAAGTATAAGTAAAAAAAAAAAAAATATCACAGGGAAATAAGGAATTTGACTGGTAAATTGAATCATTCAGATTGCCTCCTACCTCCTTAATATATCCAATTCCTCCAGAATTGTTTAAGTAGACATATATGATTTTATAGTAAAATTGAAAATATAAGCATAGCCTGTGCATGGTAAGAGGCATTATAACAACTGTGAGAGCACATATAGGCACATATATAAGCTTTAAAGTCATAAAAACCCAAATTTAGAACTGATCTCTGCCAGTCACAAAGGACTACATATTACATCTGGACATTTATGTAAAATGTCCAGAATAGGCAAATCTATTAAGACAGAAAACAGGCTAATGGTTCCATAGAGCTAGGGGAAGGAGAAGGGAAAAGGAAAGTGGCTGCTAATGGATACAGGATTTCTTTTGGGGGTGATAAAAATGTTCTAAAATTGGCTGTGGTGATGGTTATACAACTCTATACTAAAAACCACTAAGTTGTGCACTTAAATAGATGAACTGTATGGTATGTAAAATACATCTAAATAAAGCTTTTATAAAAAATTAAATTTTTGCCACTTACCAGGTATGTCTTTGGCCATGTCATTTACCCTTCAAACCTCAATTTCCTTATATGTAATATAAGAATACCACATTCCTCAGAGGGACATAGTTTAAGTATTATATTAAATTATAAATATAATTACTTTGTACATAGGATACGATGAATAGTAATATTTATAGATTAAATAGGCTTCTTAGGCAATGAAGTTATTTCATAGCAGTCTTGTAAAATAATAGCCAGTCTCATGAAAAGCCCAAAGTAGTTATTACAAATCGTGAGGACAACATGAGTAATATCTTATAAATAAGGAATAGATGTTTTCCACAGGGAAATATCCCAAATTCAAACTCAATACAGTAAACCCACAAATTTGCACACCTCGATTTAATGGACTTCAGATTTAACAGCCAAAATTTCCAGACCATATATCACATGTGAAAATAACACCCTGTTAATTTTAAAATTATGTTATCTGACTTACTTGTAATTAATGGGTTATTTTTTGTTATTAATTCATTGTTATTTTTAACAAATTTTAGTGAATAGGCCATATGTTGGAAAAAACACTGCCGTTATTTCCAACATAAATAAATATTACTTATCTATAACTATAGGCTATATACTTGAATCCAAGATTCACCACTCATAAACAATGTCTAGTGAATGATTAGCACATAATCACACCATATCATGTGCAGTAATTGGTTTCATTGTCACATGGCGAGACTTTCTGCAACAATTTTAAAGTGTACAGCAAATGTGCCAAAGTGCATTTGTTTACTCACCGTGACTGGTGAATGCATGCATTTACTAGACCTATTCAATATAAATTTAAAATTACAGTGTACATATAGAAAACTTTTCTGTAAATTTAATTTTTTCATACATACTTAATTTTAATTACACAAATGTGTCTGTATAAGTAAAAACAGATACACTAATTTGTTAATTTTGTAACATATGCATTTGGAAAATCTATTTTATTATATAACAGACTTTCAGCTTTAACTGACACCTCCTCGAGTGAATTAGTCCATTATATTGAGGTTTTACTGTATAAACCTATGCAAAGAGCTGAAAATAAGTTATAACAATTTGAGAGCCTACAGAAATAGAAGCCTATCCTTCTAGAAATACCAAGATATCTTTAAAAACCTAGCAAGCTCTGAGACAAAAACTGATACCTCTTTCAAAACAAGCTACCAGAACAGAGTGAGACCCCCCAAACAAACACTTTAGGTACACTTCATAGAGCCTTAATATTCTAATGCCACAAGAATCATCTTAAAAAAACACACATTTAACTGTAATTGACTCACCATTATCACACTGGCCATTGCCCTCTTCTGAACTCAAAGTGTGTTTGCCTGAGCTATGTCCAAGCCTTGCAACACAGTATGTTGGAGTAGGAGGAACCATTGTAGAGGGCCTTCCATGATTCTGTACCAAGGAGACACACACACACACACATACATGCAGTTCTCCCTCTTAATTCTAATGTGCCTTAGAATTAAGTGTGAAGCAATAATGATTAAGAAAACAAAAAGTATTAGCCCATCCTATCTAATAAAAGAGTAAAATGCAAATTGTCTGTACCTCCACCATACCCACAAGCCACACCCACCAGCCAATCAGGAGTGAATATGGAAATAAACCCAACTAAGATGGCAGAGACCACTGAGAGAAGGAGGAAGGCTTGGGTTTCCTCTGTGATGGAGAAAGCCAAGCTTTCCATCTGCCCTTGCTGACCCAGGCCTCTGCTTAAGGCTACAAAGTTTCAATTATAGAAGGTAAATAAATCCCAACAGAAGTGGCTTTGGCCATGGAGAGAGCAGAAGGCTTGGCTCCACTCCACACTACAAAGTTTCAATTGTAGAAGACATAAACGGAGATACCAGGGCCTCTGCTTGATTCGGCAGGGGGCATGGACGGCCTGCAAACCACCACAGGCCCCTCGCCCAGGCTGCCCCACACCCCAAGGGAACCACCACCCTGATCTAGGACACCCTTCAAGGCAAACCAGCCGGCCCCCACCCATGCACCAGGCCTCTATCCTATCTAATAAAAGAGTAATATGCAGATTGACAATCACTCCAACACACAAGATGGCTGCCCCCATGTGGTCAAAAATCCTGCCCCCATGTGGACACCACAAGATGGCCAGAAGGGGAGGGCATTCGGAGGGACCAGGCCTGCAGGGGAGGGCAGTTAGGGGTTACCAGACCTACAAGGGAGGGCAGTTAGGAGTGACCAGGCCTGCAGGGGAGGGGAGGGGAGTTAGAGGCAAATAGGCTAGCAGGGGAGCAGTTAGGCATCAATCGGGCTGGCAGGGGAGTGGTTAGGAGGTGATCAGGCTGGCAGGCAGAAGTGGTTGGTGGCAATCAGGAAGGCAGGCAGGTGAGCAGTTGGGAGCCAGCAGTCCAGAATTGTGAGAGGGATGTCCAACTGCCTGTTTAGGCCCAAGTGGGATCGGGCCTAAACGGGCAGTCAGACATCCCTCAAGGGGTCCCAGATTGGAGAGGGTGCAGGCTGGGCTGAGGGATTACCACCACCCCCCCCCCCTGCCCTCCGCACAAATTTTGTGCACCGGGCCTCTAGTACTATATAGGCACGATTATTTGTCCAAGACTAAAAAAAAAAGTTCTCTTCTTTTTAAAAGTGCTAAGATGAAATTATGTTTTCCAAGAAGAACTTTATTTGCTTATTTGTACAAAAAGCTAAAATTTATCTATATGCCCCTACTTAAAAAAAGAGAAAAGTGAATAGCTTTTTGAGTAAATTTTTAAACTACTTACAGGTAAATTTGGATAAGCAGTCTCATCCCCTTCTTCAATTTCATAAAAAGTAATGGTTTCTTCCAAGCCCCTAGGCATCTGTCCATTTTCTGGGGCAAAGCTATATTGGCATTCCTTATTCACACAATGCATCTGGCGGTGACTACGTCTAAAGGAACTTAAGTGGTTCAGAGAATGAAAGGGGAAAAACATGGTAATAACTTGTTTTTAAGTTCTAAGTAACAGTTCAAGCATCCCAATGTTGACACAATTTAGTTCATACATTTGTTGCTTAGCAATGAAGACAAACTTACCCATTTTCTCTGACTTTTGACACTGAAAATTTACGTACCGAGCTCTATAGGAGAAGTTATCATAGCTCTGGCAGCACTTTTTCCCTGGGCCAGGGTAAAAACCAACTTTAGGATCTACCATGTTAGGCCTGTTTATAAAGCGAGATGAATCCCTAAGAATAAGGGGAAAGGAAAACAGAATTCTTTATTCACTAGGGTCTGAGTGGTTAGTCTTTGTAGTTAAATAGAATTAACACATCTTTATAGAAACATCCACATACAAAGAGCTTTGCTTCTCTTACTATTGGCATTAGGCCTAATCATTACTCATGGATATAAGGCCATATACATGACATTCATATCTTGATGGCATTCTATCTTCTAGCACTTCTTCAACTGCTCCATATTTCCCTAAACTGTGAAAATATGAATCTTCTAATAAATTCATTTGTCAAGAATTTAAGTATACACGTTTCATCCTCTATGCTCTGTGTAGACAGAAATTGTAAGAAATCAAAACTCTTTAGATATTTCTAAATTCTACTGTAATTTCTGTCCAGGAATTATTTCCAATATCTAAACAGAGATGAACATGATCTTGAAAGTTGGTTAAGCCTTACCTGGGCATCCCATATCCCCGACCTTGTCTCTGAGATGAATGTTGAGGATAAAAATGTTCATTAGCCATAAAATTGCCAGCTGTCTGTGCGTAGTGCATTGGAGGGTCATGCCCATAATGCATACTATTCTGAAGCCTGGATGGGGGTAGGGGGTCTCCCCTGCTGTAGGCCATAGACATATACATCTCTTTCCCTCTAACTTTCCTGAACATCTTCTTGTGTTGCTTCATGTCCATCTCCGATATAACTTTCAGGCAAACAAAGAAGTAGCAAATAAGCTTCATAACCAAAGCAAAACATCCAGTGTCTCCCCACCACATACAGAAATAACTAAAACTTTCAAATTTTTTTTAGGAACAAACAAGCAAACAAAAAATAAAGGGGGGGGGGAATTTTTGTATTTTTTAAGGATATACTAGATAATCTATTTGGAAGGGCAAAACCAGTAGGTATTTCTGTGATCATCAAAACAGAGAGTTAATACCTATTAATATCTCTGGCTGCTTCCATGAAGTGTTTTCCTAGTTCTCTGAAAAATATTTTCCCTTCAAATTTTAGAATCTAAAATCTATTCCAACTTAAGTTTACACAAAGTACTTTGGAATAGTATTTCTTAGCCAGAGACAGTTTTGCCTCTCTTCCCACTAAGGAACATGTGGCAATATCTGGAGTCATTTTGGGTTTTTAAACTGGAGGAAGAGTGCTATGGCATGTAGTGGATAGAGTCCAGGGATGCTACTAAGTGCACAGAACAGCACACCATTAAGTATTACCCATCCCAAAATATCAGTAGTGTCAAAGTTGAGAAACTCTACCCCAGAATAAGATTTATTTATACCTTTAAAAATTATAATATAGGGGGAAAGATGGAAAAAATAATAAAAATCTTCAGTATACAAACCCATTTCTGGGAAATAGCCCCCGGAAATTTTCTGGTAACCTCTTCCTTTCCGACTAGGCATAGCATTCCAGGCAGGAACAGGTGTCACTTGAGTAACTGGTTTTAAGTTAGCCAGTGGAACAACATGCCTTAAAGTTAAAGATACCAACATGAAGACATTGCAGCAGACTTAATTCTCATTCACTACACAGCGCCACCCTTTCTGCTTCATTTTCAAGTGTATTCCACTTACATCTGTTGACAGTAGTTTTCCTGTTGAGGTTTTCTCTTTAAGTTTAAGAAACCTAAGAGGCCGAAACCGGTTTGGCTCAGTGGATAGAGCATCAGCCTACAGACTGAAGAGTCCCAGGTTCGATTCCAGTCAAGGGCATGTACCTTGGTTGCAGGCACAACCCCAGTAGGGGGTGTGCAGGAGGCAGCTGATTGATGATTCTCTCTCATCGATATTTCTAACTCCCTATCCCTCTCTCTTCCTTTCTGTAAAAAATCAATAAATTTTTAAAAAATTAAAAAAAGAAACATAAGAATAGTTTGTACCATTTCACAGATGTTTGTTGTACAAATCACCTTCCAGAGGAATGACGACTGTAGTAAACTAGTTTAGAAATATTTGTTGCATCTCCTTAGAGGAGGATTATAATATTTTCTTACCCCGCTGACTTCAGACTCAGCTACATTATATAACTAATGCTTTAAGAGCCAGCACATGGTTTGTCATGGTATAATTTTTTTCTGTCTATAATAGAGCCTTCTTGGCCAGGGTTCCCTTTACTGTCCCTGTTGCCTCATTTGTTTTTTAGCCTGTCAGGTAAATAATACATAACATACAAAATGAGCAAGAAGTGACCTTCTTGTTTTAAACTGCTGACATCTTTTTTTTGTTGTTGTTATTACGGCAGTCTAGACTAGTTCCATGGTCAGCAAACTGGCTCGCGAGCCACATGCAGCTCTTGGGCCCCTTGAGTGTGGCTCTTCCACAAAATACCACTGCCTGGGCGAGTCCATTTTGAAGAAGTGGCATTAGAAGAAGTTGAAGTTTAAAAAATTGAGCTCTCAAAAGAAATTTTAATCGTTGTACTGTTGATATTTGGCTCTGTTGACTAATGAGTTTGCCGACCACCTGCCTAATTTAATGGTTCTCAAAGTAGACCAATAGCATCAATATCCAGAAACTTGTTAGAAGTTCAATTTCATGGGCCCCACCACAGACTTACTAAATCAAAAATTTTGGATATGGAGCTCATCAATCTGTGTTATAGCATACTCTCCAGAGAGCTCTGGAACATGTTAAAAGTTTGAGGATGACTAGACTAGCTGAGTTGCTGTGACATTAGAAAACCAGCTTTCCCATTAGTATGAACAGTTTTTAACAGCATTCTGTTGAACTTAATATTTATAGTAAGTTGGCTAGTGACTAGGATTTATAAACTTTTATACATAGGTTATTCATGTGTTGTTTAACAAAGAAGGTACATGCGGAGAAATGCATCGTTAGGCAATTCCATCATTGTATGGACATCACAGAGTGCACTTAACACAAACCTAGATGGTCTAGACTACTATACACCCAGGCTATAAGCCTTTGCAGCATGTTACTATACTAAGTACTGTAGATAATTATAATACAATGGTGTTTGCATATCTAAACACAGGAAAAATAGTTTAATAATATGGTGCAAAAGTTAAAAAATGATACACCTGTATAGGGCACTTATGATGAATGGAGCTTGAAGGACTGAAAGCTCTGGGTGAGTGAGGGAGTGAGTGGTGAGTGAATGTGAATGCCTAGGACATTACTGTACATCACTGTAGGCTTTATAAACATTGTCCCTTAAGCCCTCCCCCTGAATCCTCCCTACAGGGTTAGAAATAGAACATGATAGCTGCCAAGGTTTCTCCATGAACTCTAAGCTGGATGAACATTAACATGAATCAATATGTGGGATGGATTAATTAGAAATATGTTAGAGAAACTGGCTGCGTAAGGAGTGGATCACCACAATAGTGACTACAGGAGGGAGTGAAAGGTGGCCCGATGATCAGTAGAATTAAGAAACCAAGATGGAGAGATAAAGGAACATAGGAATTATTGGGGCAATGTGGTTTGGAATATTGCATGTTGGAGCAATGGTTAAAGAACTTTGTGGTATTCATAAAAAAGAGGGTGTTTAACATGGAGAGGGTATAGAACGGGGGACTCAAATAGTTTGACTTTGGAAATTTGTTATTGATTCCATTCACACTATATGGCACAGGGGCTCTATTTGGCATTGCACTGATGGAAGAAATAAAACTTTTCTGTTTTACCTATGATAACCTGAACATATTCCCAAAGAATAGGGACAGGCTGGCTCCATACTATCATAGAAAGCTGATACTGATGTATCAGTGGAACTTAATACCTGTTAAAGTAGCTCCTGTGGATTTGTGTCCTTGTACAGAATCTTATGTCCTCAACCAAGAATTTACAACAATGAACTCTGAAGACCATGGGCTATATCTGGGAGGACTGATTACAGTGCCCTCTGAGTATGTAGTATAAAGAAACAGGCTGCTCTGTGCTGAAACAGCTCAGTGACTGACTGATAGGGATGTGACCCATGCACTCACAACTGAGGTGCTGTGAGAGGGAATCCACTGCCATGCTGCACAGGTATCGCTTCCATCAGAGGAAAAAAATAATTCCTCCTGAACTGTACATCCTTCCATTTCTTACGGAAAATTCAACTCCATTATGATCTTAAGAAATCAGTCATAGACTGAAATGTCATTATGCAGCATATGATTGTATTGAGATTTTTATACTTTAGCATGCACTTTTACAATTCAAGGTAAGTCCTCTTAGGCTAGTACCAGATATAACTTTGGTTCTCTTACTAATATCCTGGTAATTCTCAATTTAATATTACAAAAAAAGCATCGGCAGCCAAAGATTTCAGTAATTCAACACATTATTATATTCTTACTTTTCTGCCAATTCTTCAATGAAAACTGTTACTGAATTGTTCTCATTTCCAACTTCCTGAATGTGAGCATTATAATATCTTCCATCTGATTCCAAACAAACCTGAAAGAGGGGAAGAGACAGAATACATTTACTTTCAAGACTATTGGCAAATCTGGCTTCTTCCAAACAAAAATACTGTTCCCCAAATGAAGTTCAGTATTTACTTATTAAAGCAGCTGATAATCAGCACTGCCAGTCTGGTTCAATGGAGGTTGCACATGCTGAAAGAGTCTTACATCTAATCACAAAAGTTTGTAATTAAAATTTAACACAAACATTTAAAAATTTTCTAGAATTTTGCAAATTAGTTTTTTGAACTCATATTAATGACTAAAACCACAATCTTGAAAAAAAAAATTATTGATTCTTCAAAGAAGAAACTAACCTGACATTTGTCTCCCAAATAGTAATGTTTCCCAGCATACTCCATGTAATCAGCTTTTTGAAGTTCTGTTAAAAGAAAGGATCAAGCTCAACTAAACTGCTTCCTTTCCTATTTTATTTTACATCATTTAATTTTCTAATGCACTTTTACAAGGTGTTTTTACAATGCTACCAGTATAAGCTAAAATTGGGGTGAAGGGTAGTCCTAAAGGGTCATTCTATCACTCATGGCAGGTTATTTCTGTATTCAATTTAGGAGACTTCCAAATATAGTTTTGTGCTACAAAACACAAATATACATTTCTCAAACCTGCCAGGTGGAACAATTTGGTTCTTGACCAAGTTGTTCACAGAAAAAATGTCTAGGTCTTGAAAGAAAACCAGTTTTGGAACTGACAACCTTTTCAAGCTGATACCTCAGCATGACAAAAAGTGTCTCTCAGGCAACAAAGGAGAGAATGCTTTTGTTGTCATCAACGGATTAGCATAATTTTAAAAGATAAAGAGACCATTAAGAGAGTTAATGTTGCTAAGGTTGTGAAAGAAACAATGACCACAGACAACTGAAAAGATAGAAAAACTACTGTTGATTTGGATTAACAAAAAGCAATTAGCCAGTGACAATCATTTCAGAGGCAGTGATCTATGAACAGTATCAATCAAAGGTACTGCATCATGCTGACCTGAAAGACACCCCTGTACACTGTGCTAAAAGAGATTAGTTTAAGGTTAGTAGGGGGTGGTTGGATAAATTTAAGAAAAGAAATATTGATAGATTAAATAGTGCATTTGACATGTACTGTATATAAGAAAGTTTAAAATAGGAATCATTTGGGAATGGATTAATTCATTACATTATTTCTAATGGAAAAAATAATTCAGTTTTTTAATAAATCACTTCTCAAACGGCCTTCTGGAGTGAAATAAATTCGAGAACCAAGGTTCCACTGTAAGTGGAAATTAGGAGGTTGCAATTTTAAAGTTTATCAACACCAGTAAGATGAAATTTGAAAGTAACACATCTCATTGAAAAAAGAAATACAAAGCTTCTTCAAAGCAACCTATTATTTTTAACAACTTAACTGTGTTCCATTAGATCATAACCTCATTCTATACTGCTAACTATATACCCTGATTCACGTCGTTCAAGGAATATGAGACATTAAAGGCTACCTCTAAGGCAGAACTTTAAGGCCTACTTTGACCAACTTAATTATCTAATAAAGGAGAGAGAAATAATTACCTATTTTGAGGGTTGGCAAACTACACAACTCGGCCACAAAACTTTACTTATGGACACTGAAATTTGAGTTTCACATAACATACTGTTTTCAATTTTTTTCTACCATTCAAAAATTTAAAGACTATTCTTAATTCATATATCATACAAAAACAGGTGGCAGGTCAGATTTTGTCTAAAGTTCATAGTTTGCCAACACCTGATCAACTCATTTATTAATAAGGGGAGTTTTAACCCTTTAAATGTAAGATATGTTTATTTCTAGTTACTACAAGTTTCTGGTACTCTTAGTTATCTAAAGGCTGCCTCCACAGAGTCTTTGCAAAGTTGAAATACCAGATAAACATCAAACTTTAAAAGATCCCACTTCTAAAATCATTTGTTTCTCCTTTGGATTCAAATCATGAATTGAGTAAGGCAAAAAGTAAGTGCATGCCTGTTTTTCATCACAGTACATTGAAAATGTCTCTTATTAAAAACAATTTACAAAATTATTCTCCTAGATCTGTCAGGATTCAAAAGTATCCTGTTGATATTTCATTACCTTTTCTGCTGTCCAACCAAACATCAAATTCTACATTACGATAGATTTCTGGATCCAAAGCTTTGAGCACCTTATAGGGGAAGTACACCTTGGATGGATTTTCTGGAGACTAAAACAAAAATAGTCATGCTACAAACTCACCATCTTTAGCTTAAGTCTTTCTTCTATGAAGAAGAATTAAGGTTCTTTGCTTGCCTTTTTTTAAAAGCTATGTACATTTGACTTCCTTTCCTTCTTTATTAAAATAAGAAATAAATTCAACAATAAATTTTACTGTATATTTAAAAATCAGAAGACTAAAGAAGCAATATGCAAATAATCTAAAAGGTTTTGGATGGCAGAAGGGAAATATTGTCTCAGCAGCCAACAATTCAGGATACATCATATATAAATCAATGCAACACTGACCAGGATTAAAGACTCAGTCAGAACTACTTGACAAGTTTTCCCTTGGTATGCACACAGAGGTGCAAGTGCTTCTGTACCCTAAAGTCAACTAGAAAAATATAAAAAGATTATTTCATTTTGGTCAAAAATCTGTAATAATTTCCAAAGAAATTACATTTTCTTTCTGCTTTTCTAGAATTTTGCCATATTCAATACTGTTCCCAAATTATCGATACCAGCACTTGGGGCACACAGAGAGATTATTTTAACAATACTAGTGGCCTGGTACATGAAATTCATGGACATTAAAAGAGAAGAGTCCCAGACCTAGCCAGCGCCATCCCCACTGGGCAAGACCCAGACCCGGCCGGCCCCACAGGTCAAGCCCTGCTGGCAAGGGAGGCAGCATCAAGTCTCTGTCTCACCCTGCACGCAGTCCTGCCCACCCACTCCTGTCTCTCACACAGACTCCTGCTGATTGGTCTTTATGGTGTGAGGGTGTCATGACCATTAACATATTAGCTCTTTATTATATAGGATTTGTCTTATTTAGTTAGCATCAAATGTAATGTCTGCTTAATTTTAAACCTATACAAATAAATTGTCTACTGTTTCACAAACCAGGATTATTACCTCTTTTCTTTGAGTAGATAGGGATAAGCATTATATTCTTTAATGATAAAAAGAAACCTCAGTGTTATAAAATTAATTACAAACTATCCATTGAGTCTATAATATTACTTTATCTTGAAAACAACAGCTTCTGACATTTTTCAAGTGTTCAGTTTGCTTTGAAAAAAAATCTATAATTCCATAATAAAATTTCAGAGAACATTAAGTACACATTTTACATTTTCAAATTAAGACTTCCCCAAAGGGAAATATCAACTTTTCCCCATCCCCATATTACTAGAATGGATCATGTGATTTCAACTAGTTTAAGTTATAATGCTGCAAACCAAGGTTATAAAGTCTTTGCTCTAGAAAAATCTCAAACCTTTGCTTCTTCTGTTCCTTTATTGTACCCCTCTGGTATATTTTCAATATTGTAGCAAGCACTCAATTCTTCAGTCCTAATTGAAAAGATTTAGAACAAAGAGCTTTATATAAATGTACCAGCTAAGAAAATCTTAAATCTAACAACTATTCTACCACCTAGTGGTACTAAAGTAGCTCAGTTCTAAAAAAATGAGGCAAATACTTTTTCACTCAGCATTTACATTTATGCTTCCTTTGTATAAATATGTGCTACAATATGCTTAGCAGATTACCTCCTATATTTCATAATTCCTGTAGGGACACATTATTAAGAAGGTCCCTATGATACGCATCCTCCCAGTGTTCATGTGTCCTAAGTTTGCTTCTAACCAATAAAGAGTATACCATTACATTGTGTAAGAATGTAGTGCTTGTCTTGCTAGTTTCTCTCTCTTGCTTAAGGAAACAAGCAGCCATGTTAACCAAATCCATGTGGCAAGGAGCTGAGTATTACCTTTGGTTGATGGACAGAAAACTGGTTTTCAGTCCTAGGGCTACAAGGAACTGAATGCTACCAAGAACCATGTGAGTAGGAAGGTAGACCCTTCCTTAATCAAAGCTCCAGAAAAGAACTCAATCCCTGCTGACACCATAATTGCAGTCTTTTGAGATTCTTAAGTATAAGATCGAGCTAAGCTATGCCCAGATTCCTAACCCATATAAATTGAGAGATATGTGTGTTATTTTAAGCTGCCAATTTTATGGTAATACTAGAAGCCCGGTGCATGACATTCGTGCATGGGGGCGAGAGGGGGGTGCCTCTCAGCCCAGCCTGCACCCTCTCCAATCTGGGACCCCGTGAAGGATGTCTGACTGCCCATTTAGGCCCGATCCCACTGGGCCTAAAAGGGCAATCGGACATCCCTCTCACAATCCAGGACTGCTGGCTGCCAACTGCCTGACTGCCTGCCTTCCTGATTGTTCCTAACCGCTTCTGCCTGCCAGCCTGATCACCCCCTAACCGTTACCATGCCAGCCTGATTGATGTCTAACAGCTCCCCTGTCAGCCTGTTTGCCCCCCAACTTCCCTCCTCTACCAACCTGGTCACCCCTAACTGCCCTCCCCTGCAGGGTTGATCACCTCCAACTGCCCTCCCTTGCAGGCCTGGTGCATCCCAACTGCTCTCCCCTGCTGGCCATCTTGTGCTGGCCATCTTATGTCCACATTGGGGCAGGATCTTTGACCACATGGGAGCAGCTATATTGTGTATTAGAGTGATGGTCAATCTGCATATTACTCTTTTATTAGATAGGATAGAGATCTCTTGCATGGGTGGGGGCCAGCTGGTTTGCCCTGAAGGGTGTCCCGGATCAGGGTGGGGGTTCCTTTGTGGTGTGGGGCAACCTGAGCAAGGGGCCTGTGGTGGTTTGCAGGCTGGCCACGCCCCCTGGCAAACCAAGCAGAAGCCCTGGTATCTGGAATTTATTTACCTTCTACAACTGAATCTTTGTAACCTGGAGCAGAGCCAAGCCTTCTGCTTGCTCAGTGGCTGCTGCCATTTCTGTTTGGATTTGTTTACCTTCTATAATTGAAACTTTGTAGTCTTGAGTGGAGACTTAAGCCAGCAAGGGCAGGTGGAAAGCTTGGCTTCCTCCATTGCCTGGGAAACCCAAGCCTCCCTCCTGTTCTCTGTGACTGCAGCCATCTTGGCTGAGGTTAATTTGCATACTTGCTCTGATTGGCTGGTGGACATGGCTTGTGGGTGTAGTAGAGTGGTAGTTAATTTGCATATTGCTCTTTTATAAGATGCAAATTAACCATCACTCTACTACATAGCAATAGATAATAAATACACCCTGCCTTCCTAATACTATAGTTTCCTTAAGCCAAAGTACTTTAAAAAATATTCAGTAAAGATAGAAGCAACTTTTACCTTGGTATATAGTTGGCTGCCCTTGTATTCTCAAATATCACAAAAAAATAAAATTCAGAGCATTAAATATCAAAGAAACAGAACTACAAGGCAAAAAGATAAGGTGACACCTGTCTTAAAGACAAGCTTTAAGACACTCAGCTCTTAAAACTTCCCTTAGTTTGAAATAGACTCTTTTCTACTAGCTGGTTGTGTGTGTCAAGTAACCACTCTGAATCTCAATTACCATCTACAAAATCATGGTCCTATTTTACAATCAGTGTTGTTGTTTTTTTGTTGTTGTTTTTTTCAAAGTGTGGTCCATGACCTACCTATATCAGAATACCTGAGTACATTTGTTAAAAAAGCAGATTCCTGGCTTTACTCTGACCTGAAATTTTGTGAAGATAGTATCAAAAATCTGCCTTTCTAACAAGCACCCTAAGTAATTCATATATACTGAAGTTTGAGAGTCACAGGATTAGACCGCTCTAAAATATTTTCCAACAATAAAAAACAACAATCTGATTCTGACTTTGACAGAATCACAAAAGCCTGAGCATCTAAAAACACAACACATCTTTTTGGCAAAAATTCTCTTCTCCTATTAAAAAAAATTATATTCCTCCACAAAGAGAGAAAGAGAGAGAGAAAGAGAGAGAGAGAGAGAGAAAGAGATATATCTTAATCATAAAAGCTTTCCAGTCTCTTCTACTTCCAAATGATGACACACAGAGAGATGATGATCGTGCAGTTGATATTCCCTTTCCCTTTATTACCTATCTGGAGTTACACTCTTGTAGGCAACATTGACATCCTCACTGCTAGTGACAGCATTGTTTCTGTTCTTCTTAGAACCACTTCGAAACAATTCAATTGCAGTCTTCAGTGCTTCTTCATCCACAACAAACACATCTTTATAGAGAATTTCATACAATACAGCTAAAGAAAAAATGGTCAAAACTCCAATTATCAAAACAACGCTTTTTAAAGTAGCAATGTGAAAACAGCCACAACCCAGTATACAAATTCAATAGTTGTAAACAAGTTTTTAAAAAGCTATTATGGAAGGTTCCTCAATTTAAAGACTGACAATAAATCACACCCAAACATTTATAAAGCCTTCACATACCTTGACAAACAGCTGCACTTGACTGAAATTGTTTTGAGTATACTGAATCATAATGGCCATTACTTGAATAGCAGAGTAGAATCTGAAGAAAAGGAAAATACACAGAACCATTAAGTGAGCGTTACAACATCCTACAACCATGAGATCCTTGAAATTAAGTAATGAATCAGAAAATTGATAAAGTGAATGTTTTGTTTTAAAAAGTGACTTTTAGAGCAAGAGGAAGATGGTGGCATAGGTAAACGCCTGTACTCACTGCCATCCACAATCACATAAAAATTACAACTAAAATTCAGAACCATCATCCAGAACCACTGGAAAGCTGGCTGAATGGAAGGCCTACAACTAGAGAGGTAAAGAAGTAAGCACACTGAGACTTGTAGCACATGGAGGAGCAGAACAGTCTGGTCTGGAACCCAGGTGTGCTGTTTTTTTCTCTGTGGAGGCTGCCTGGAACAGCAAGGAGTCCCAGCCCCACACCAGACCCCCAGACGAGGATTCTAGAGCTGGGGAAAGAAGTCTCTAGGGGCAGTAATAATACAAACAATAAAAACCAGTGCGGACTGGGGCTTAGTGACACAGAAGCAACTGAAAACCCAGCTGTTCCTCTTAAAATGCTGGCACCATGAACTGAACTTACAAGGTCCTACTTCCTCTGAGCTCCAGAACCAGGGGAAGGCTCTGGAGGAGGAACTGGATTGTCTGGCATCAGGAAAGGAACTCCTGGGAGGCTTTCTCCTAGACAAAGGTGCTTGCATGGATCATTGTTCTTGTGCTGGGCTCTCCTAGGTCACAGGGCTGATTGGCAGCCATTTCTGTTTATTCCACCCTGGTGATTACTTAAGACCCCGCCTCATTAAATTCATACCACCACCCAAGCTGTATGCAGCAGCTTTTACATATGAATCACCTGTCCTTGCTCAGGCTAAATCTCTCAACAAGCTACAGCTAGGTCAGGGAGCCACAAACCTATCTTTAAAAGGCCCAAGACCCAGCACCAGCCTGCCTTGCTTCACAGCTGGGCCTCATCCAGGAACTTCCTTACTGGTACAAAGAGGAGAAATCTGCAGAATTCTCTGTAGCTTCTGTTCGGTGGCCCCAGGCAGTGGCTGACTTTGCACCTCCCTGGAGACTCAAGAGCCAGTGTAGCCAGTAGTCAGTGTCAGACCATGCCAGATTACAACTCTACACATCCATAAGTGACACATTCAAGGGGCAGACTCAGTGAGCACCAATACCCAAATGAAGCAAGTCCTGCTCTATAGAGTTATCTACTGCACAGCAGCTCTCCCACTGAAGTCAGAGCTGGTCCTCACAGCCATTGGTTTAGGGCAGTGGTTGGCAAACTGCGGTTCATGGGCCACATGCGGCTATTTGGTCCCTTGAGTTTTTAGCAAAGGTCAGCTTAGAAGTTCCCTAATTAAGCTAATAACAATGTACCAACCTATATAGTTTAAGTTTATGTTGATATTTGGCTACGTTGACTAATGAGTTTGCTGACCACTGGCCTAGGGTCAATTCCTCCCAGTGACACTAACAGTAATCAAGTCTCAACTACAAAACCGTGCTGAGAGCCCACAGAGGGGTGCACCTAGAGCTCCCTAGGTGACTGGAGAATCTGATCCACTGGACTTTATAGGACACCTACTACATAAGGCCACTCTACCAACACAAGGAGACACAGCAGCTCTACCCAATACATAGAAACAAACATAAGAAAGCAGCCAAAATGCAGAGACAAACAAACATGTCACAAATGAAAGGAATGGAAGAAAACAAACTACTGGATATAGAGTTCAAAAACATGGCTATAAAATTACTCGAGAATCTTCTAGAAACCTCCAAAAAATGGAAAAGGACCAGTCAGAAATTAAGCATATACTGACCAAGAATAATATACAGGGGTTCAACAGTAGAGGATTCTGAGAATCAAATCAACAATTTAAAATATGAAGAAGCAAAAAACACCCAACCAGAGAGCAAAAAGAAAAAAAGAATCCAAAAATATGAATATAGTGTAAGAAGCCTCAGGGACAACTTCAAGCATACCAACATCCGAATTATGGGGGTGCCAGAAGAAAAGACAGAGCAAGATATTAAAAACCTATTTGAAAAAATAATGACAGAAAACTTCCCCTACCTGGTGAAAGAAATAGACTTACAAGTCCAGGAAGCAGAGAGTCCCAAACAAGGGGAACCCAAAGAGAACCACACCCAAGACATATCATAATTAAAATGCCCCAAAATGACAATGCGGTATCATCTCACACCTGTCTGAATGGCAATCATCAACAAATCAACAAATGACAAGTGCTGGTGAAGATGCAGAGAAAAAGGATCCCTCAAGCACTGATGATGGGAATGCAGTCTGGTACAGCCACTGTGGAGAACAGTAAGGAGTTTCCTGAAAAAATTAAAAATGGAACTCCCATTTGACCCAGTAATCCCGCTCCTAGGAATATATCCCAAGAAACTATTAATAGAAATACCAATCAGAAAGGATATATGCACCCCTATATTCATAGCAGCATAATTTACCATAGCTAAGATCTGGAAGCAGCCTAAATGCCCATCAGTAGATGAGTGGATTAAAAACCTGTGGTACATCTACATAATGGAATACTATGCTGTGGTAAAAAAGAAGGAATTCTTACCATTTGAAACAACATGGATGGAGCTGGAAAGCATTATGCTAAGTGAAATAAGTCAGTCAGAGAAAGATAAATATCACATGATCTCACTCATATATGGGAAATCATGAATAACATAAAATGATGAACAAAAACAGATCCAGAAGATAGGGAAGCATCCATCAGACTGTCAAACCTCAGAGGGAAGGTAGGAGAGGGTGGGGGTAAGGGAGAGAGAACAGCCAAAGGACTTGTATGCATGCTTATAAGCTTAACCAGTGGTCACAAACAACAGGGGGGTGGGAGCATGAGTGAGGAGGGGGGTTTAGGAAAGTAATGGGGGGGGGAATGAGGGCAAGTATGTAATACCTTAATCAATAAAGAAATTAAAATAAAATGCCAAGGGCTAAAGACAAAGAGAGAATCTTAAAAGCAGCAAGAGGAAAACATTATTACCTACAAGGGAGTGCCCATATGACTGTCAACAGAAACTATGCAGGCCAGAAATGAGTGACAAGAAATATTCAAAATGATGAATAGAAAGGACCTACAACCAAGATTACTCTACCCAGCAAAGTTATCATTTGAAAATTGAAGGTCAGATAAAGGGCTTCACAGATAAGAAAAAGCTAAAGGAGTTCATCACCACCCAATCAATATTTTATGAAACTAGAGGACCAATGCACAAAATTTGTGCAAGAGTAGGCCTTCCTTCCCCTGGCTGCAGACACTGGCTTCGCTCTGGCATCCGAGACCCGGGCTTCCCTCAGGCCATTGTCAGGCACCCAGGACCCAGGCTTCCCTCACAGCCCCGACTTCATCCGGAAGGATGTCTTGTCTAAATAGCGTATTATTATGCTTTTATTATTGAAGGGTATTGAAGGGTATTCTTTAAGAGAAAGAAGAAAAAGATAAAAAATATGAACAAAATGGCAACAAATACATAGGAATCAACAACTGAATCTAAAAATCAAAATAAATGAATAAGAAATCTAACTAACAGAATAAACCTGTGAATAAAAGAACCAGATGCAGGAAATGGAACAGACTGACGATTCTCAGAGGGAAGGGAGGAGGATTAGTGAGCCTCAATCATATTCTGATTAATATACCTAATAAATACTAATTTACAATTTGAAAAGATAGGAACTTTTATAAATTGAACAAGTGAATATAAACACAAGACTACAGGAGAAGGGACTTCAATTTATTCAAAATGTTATCCACTATACTGAAGAGCAATACATAAATATATAAGAGTAATACTGCTAGAGACTTTCTTAATGAATTAAGATGTGAGATGGCTACAGAATGAGTTATTTCTTCTTAGCTGATCCCTTTGATTGGTGGATTTTTCAAACAATTCAAAGGTCATGCAGGCTTACTACCCAGATTATTTCAGTAAAAATGCTACTTGGCGCTATGTAATGAAATTTGTTTAAATAACTGCTCTAGAACATTTCTGAATGTTCAAAAACCTCTGTCTTGCATAAGGGATGTAATCCCTAGTGATTAAGTCTATTTCATTTTTTAATCTATCTCTGATATCAGCAGCATTAAGTACCACAGATGATTCTCTGTGATCTGTGGGAAGATGTTGCCACAAAGCTTCCTTGGCAGATTATCCTAAGCACTCTCTTTTCTACCTTCCTACACTACCGTAGGATAACTTATGCCAATAATCAAGTTCTCTGATACCAGGTATATTATTATCTGTAACCTTTTTTTGAAATCACAATTCCAATTCCAGCAGTATTTCAAAGCACTGAGGGCAAGTGTCAAGCTAAGGTTTTCTCAAGGTAAAGTCAAAGCTATGAAGTTTCCCCCACCCTAAGGAGCATTTGTATTTAAATGGAGTTTACTAATCCCAAATAACAGTGAGAAGATTTTGAACAGAAAAGCCCTTTGTACTTTGGACTAGAACAGTGGTCTGCAAAGAACAGTGGCTCTTCCACAAAATACCACATTCGGGCATGCACATATAGTATGACTGAAACTTTGTGGCCCAAGAGCAGAAGTCGGTTTTCTGCTCTCAAAAATTTCAATCGTTGTACTATTGATATTTGGCTCTGTTGACTAATGAGTTTGCCGACCACTGGACTAGAACTGGGAACTCCAACTAAAAAAGGTTAATAATGGGAGGCAGTTGTTCAGTAGTTAAAGGAACCCAGCTAACCAGAACTGACAAGGAAATAAGCAGGAAAGAAAATACAGATGACCATACAAGTTCTCTTTTCAAGTGGCAATTAGTTCCTTTTTGAATGTTAATAAGAGGCAAAACTAAGCATGGCAGTTTTTATGTTCCTGGTAGTATCACAGCATAAAATAATTCTCTCATAGATTGTGGGTGGTGTGTTTATTGGGGGTGCCAGTTGGGATGTAATGGCAATAAACTAATGAAAAAATTAGATAGATCTATATTACTGATGAGGATAGTTATCGAAAAAGAACAAGTAACAGAATGTTAAGTAAGCATTAGCCTATCTACATTTAAAAAATGTGAAGAGAATAATATAGAAGGATACCCACCAAAACTTGTTACTATGAAGCACATGAGATAAAAAAAATACTTGATTTTTTAACTCTATTTTTCAAGATTAAAATTTTATTTTGATTTTAATGTAAGTATGCATTTCTCTTCTTTCTAAATAGAGCAAATTGGTGAGTAAAAATGGCCAGCATTCACTTTGATAGTAACTGCAAAATGCAGTTAAATATCAACACAAATGGTGAACATTAGGCATATATTTCTTTGAAAATTGGTCCTCAAATATATTTTATGGAAGGCTTATTAATAATGTTCACTGCTTTTAATATTTTTAAAAATCCAAACAATTCAAATATAAATTTTATGCCTGAACTGAGATATAGCAATAGTTTTAGGCAAAGCAAGGTGTCATATAAGGAAAAGTATTTTGCTGCCACCTGGATTTTCCATACTTAAATTTCAGTATGAACAAACATACTCACTTTATATAAACTCAGATCAGACATATATTTACTATTCTGTACATACAAATACCCAATAGCTGATAATGATTAGCTCTGTATGTATGAATAATTATGATATTCTCATGGTTGTACATATTCAAAAAATATTAGCTCAATATCTCTGATATACAAGACTCTTTTGAAAACAAAGTTTTAATTTGTAGGAATTAGGAGATTGTATATGAAGGTTCACTATAAAAGTCTTTTAACTTCTTTATAAATATTTTAAGTCTAAAATGTTGGGATAAAATATTGAACTGTAGGTTTAAAAGAATCTTGGTAAAATCTAAATGTCTACTATCTCAGGCAATGCTGTGTGCAATGCTAAAACAAAAGTTTGTTAACTCTTCTTTCTCAAACAATTCTGATTATATCTCACCTCTGTTTAAAACTTCGAGTGAGTGTTTAAAGGCAATTGTTCTGCTATCTGGAATTTACTTTGAAATACATAAAAAATTAAGGTGGATGAATGAATGGATAGAAGGATGAACATGTATGTGATAAAACAATGATACCAAAATATTAACTAAGTGGTGGGTATATAGCTATTGACTATAAAATTCTTTTAGCTTTTCTGTATGTTTGAAATTTTTCAAAATAAAATATTGGAAAACAGCTTCAATTAACTATTCTGTACAATGAAAAGTCAAATTCTTGGCATGGCCTACTACACCCATTATGTAACTCTAGCCTATCTTTTTAGCATTGCCCTCCCTCCACCTAACTACCTGAGTTCCAAAGGATCTCTTGCTTCCATGCCTTTGTATATAGTGTTTACTCTGAGTAGAGTGTCCTTCACACTTGTTGAACTCATCATTTGATATTCCACTTAAATGTCAATACCATCTTGAAACTTTCTAAATTTCCTCAAGCAGAATAAAGGACTTTTCCTTCTATGTTCTTGGCACATATTTCTATTATAAAACTGTTCATTCAGTTTTATATGTCTGTGTTCAGAGCCCCTTAAGACCTTAGAGGGCAAGAATTTTGTCGTCTTCATTTTGGTATTCCCAAAGCCCAGTAAAGTGCCTGGTACACTTACAGTAGCTTAATGTTTGCTGAACAAATTAGGTGGCGATACCAATTAATGTGCTCCAATTTATATTTACCCTCTAAGTTATCTCTTGAATCCCACTTGATGGTCTCTAATCCTAATGCCACTTGCCTAGTTCATGTCTTTTTTCTAGATTACTATAACATCCTAACAGTCCTTCCAGTGTCTATTCTTATTTTACCATCATCATAATGTTGCCTGAATTTTGCTCTTCAATGTAAGATTAACAAAAGTCAAATATTCAGTAATGATTTAAATAACCAGGATAAAAGGATTTTCTTAAAACATTTTAAGAACAATTTGTCCACCTGCTGAGAGTTCTCAACCTCCTACTATTTGTACCTTACTTAGGTAGTCCTAGCACTGTCCCTGCCCTCAAGAAACTTTCAAACTAATGAGAAAAATAGACAGGAAAACAGATACAATGTGATAAATACCATAATTACCTGGGTGATGCAAAGGAAGGAAATAACTCACAGGGGTATGGCTGTGAAAGTTTCACTGGAATTGACATATTTGATATGCAAAGGGGAAAAAAAGAAGCTGGAAAGAAGGGTTGGGAATCTTTAGGGCAATGAATGCCTAGCTTCAGAGTATCAACTTACCTCTTATCAATGAGGAGCTAATTAGGGTTTTCTATTACACAGAGTGACAAGATCAGGTCTGTTCAGAAGGGTAGCTAACAACACTGACAGGTGGCAGGAAAGTTTGGTATTTGGAATGGGCCTTTTTTATTAACGAGGTAAAAGGGATGATTTCTTAATATCCTGGTAAACCCACAAATTCATTCAATTTCTTCTTTTTATTTTAGTAAACATTCACTCATCTTCTTACCTTGTCTTCATAGCCATTATCTGTAATGTAAGTTGGAGGCTTTCCGGGATTGCGATAAAGAATGAAATCTCGACTACATGGTAGAAAACAAAGGCAGATGAAAAGAGATAATTTAGCATATGCAAGAGGTAGTTATATGTATTTATGCTTTGAAACTGACCTTATAAAAATAATTCAAATGTTTAAGAGGCTAAATAATGCTAACAAGCTACTGGACTGTAAATGGCAGACAAGCTACTGGACAGTAAAGTTCTTTAGATTTTTAAAAACATATCTTAATTTAGAGGAAGGGGCAGTAAAGATAGATTACCAATTTTATGTATGTTTGTGAGTTTTGGAGGCTTCCATTTATTTAAAACAAGGTGCACAAATTTTCCTTGATAAAAGACCAGATAATAAATATTTCAGCTTTTGCAAGCCCTGTTTTATTCAGCTTTCATTTTGTAGTATAAAAGCAACCATAGACAATGATAAACAAATGCACATGACAGTGTTCCAATAAAACTTTATAGACACTAAAAATTGAATTTCATATAATTTTCACATGTCATAAAACGTTATCCTTCTTTTGATTTTTAACCATTTAAAACTTTAATATATTTTATTGATTTTTTACAGAGAAGAAAGGAGAGGGATAGAAGTTAGAAAGATCGATGAGAGAGAATCATCGATCAGCTGCCTCTTGAACACCCCCTACTGGGGATATGCCTGCAACCAAGGTACATGCCCTTGACCGGAATCGAACCTAGGGCCTTTCAGTCGGCAAGCCGACGTTCTATTCACTGAGCCAAACCGGTTTCAGCTTAGCCATTTAAAACTTTAAAAAGCATTCTCAGCTCTAGGGCCATACAAAAGCAGATGGCAGAACAATTTAAGAGCTATCCCGATTCGAAAGCCACCTGCCCAATGACTCTGCTATACTACCTCTTGCTGGGTTTAGTGAGAAAAGAGCTGACCACAAAAACTAACTTGAACAAGTCCCCATAACAAGAAGGTTCTGACTCTACCCAGGTATATGCCATCTCACCATCCTCAGAATTGTGAAGGAGTCTTATACAGATCAAACTTCTCAAATGAACAAGATTCCCACAAGCCTCTAACCTATATTATATAGCTTTCTCAAAACCCTAAGGATTAGCCACAGAATATATATGCATAACCCAATAGACACCGACAATAATATGGTGTTGGCCAGCAAGAAGGGAGGGCCAAGGTTGGGTGGAGGTGGGCAAAGGGCGGTGGGGAATGGGGACATCTGTAATAGTGTAAAATTTTTTTTTTAAAACCTATAGCTTTCAGATATGCCACTTTTGCAGTTTCAAAACAAAACTTCCAAAGCATTAGAGGAGTGTTTCTCAAAATTTCCCCCATGATCACCTCCCAAAAGAGACACTAGACTTTTCTTAATTTCCCTATATAAGGTGACCAGACGTCCCGATTTTTAACAATTTGTCCCGTGGTGTTTTAAAAAAGTCACAAAAGCGGGACATCTGGTCACCTTACATGAAATTTTAATGTTCACAGTATTTAAATTTGTTGTCCTTGAACCAATTTCTACCCTCATGGAAGCAATACAACCCTATTGAGGATGCATGCAAAAGAGGCACAAAGTTAAACAAAATTCTAAGATAAGCTTTCTAATTAGCCACAGAAACAATAACAGCAGTTCTTAAAAGTCTTTTATTCTTCCATTTAAACTGACACAAATGCTAGAGATTCTCCACCTAAAATTACACTAATGAACTTTGCTTAGACCTCTTCCTTCTACATAACAATGGATCGAATCTAAAATTTTCCCAATACTAAAGGGAATTTAATAGAAACCTGGTGCACGCGCGCGCACACACACACACACACACACACACACACACACCCTTCCTTTAAAAAAAGGAGATTCCACTTACTTATAAATTAGAGAAAGAGCTCTTATTTCCAGCTGTCCAGCACTTTCCTAAATATAAATAGTTTTTATAAACATTGAGTAGCTAGAAAGTACAAGTTTTTGCAAGCTTATAATTTTTTTTAGATGAAGAATTTGTAGAATACAATATAACTTGCTTTTTGAGACTTGGGATACTATGATAGTTACTAATTAACATAAACTTATTGTGGAAAAAAAGGACCCAAAGACCTTAGTTATTAAGTAACAAAGACAGTTAATATGGGAGATTTAAAAGGCACAATGAAAATGTAATTAGTGTAAAAATATGAAGTTAGCAGGGTATTAGTACATGTGTTTTAATCCCAGAACTATGGAATTAATCTAATCACATAAACTTTTAATTAAATATGTTTATGGATCTTACTTCCACTTAAAGATAACTACAGTTCAGGAGAGGAGAATTATTTAATAACCTCCTAGTAACATTCATTACCACCCCCCATTAAAATGATAATGGCTTAGGTTTGTCCAATTCCCAAGCAGCATGTATTCTTTCACTCATCTATGGATGATAAAATTGTTAAAACACGCAATTCTCAATATTCAACACAGAATAGGTCAGCTGCCAGCTTATAAACTTTTCCAAGAACTATTTGATTCAACATAGGTGGCTACTTAAGAAACTAAATAGATTGGCTCTAGCTAAAGCAACAAGCTGAATGATTATTTAGGTTCTTATTCCAAATACTACTCTGAAAAGAGTAAACCCCCATATTTTATCTTACCTTGGGATCTCCCAACCGTTCCAGGTATTTCTCAAAAGATCCCTCCACATACTTCAAAAATAAAACAAACTCGACTTAACCAAATACATAGCATTACTAAAGTCTGATCATATTCTGCAATATTATCCTCCAATGATTTTTGTTCAGTTTAATAATTATGGTACTAAATTACTATTTTGCCCAGCACCTCTAGGTTTGTACAAATGCTATGGTGGAGAAAAGCTGTACTATAAAAAGTATGTTAGGAATTGGTCCAGTGCATTTCCTCAACTGTTATGCCTATTAAGTTTCTTTTGAAATGTCAACTTGACAATTTACATAAATCAAGCAAGCCCAATAATTATAAGCCCAATATTTTAAATTTTACAGGAGACATGCATTTACAAAGTTAAAATTTTGAGGAAGTTTAAAGGGAATTTTAATAGTTTTAAAAAATCCCAGGGCACAAGTAAACTTTTTGGGGCAAATGTTCCTTCTCTTGATTGCAGTGGCAGCTGCATGACTGTATTGCCAAAACTAAAATTGCTCAACTTAAAATGGTGATTTTTATTGAAGGTAAAGTACACCTCAATAAAAATAAAATTACGTTAAATTCAGGGAATATAAATCTCATTCCATACATACATACTTAGTATTAAAAATAACTAGAATTTTGAAATACAATTTTGAGTTTTTCTCAATCCTTTTAAACAGCTTTATTGAGAAATAATTGGCATAAAGTACACATATTTAAATAGCAGTCAAATAAGTCTTGACATATGTATGCACTCATAAAACCATCATGATAATCGTGATGGTGAATATATCCATCCTCCCCATAAGTTTTCTTGTGCCCCTCTCTAACTCCACTGACACACAAGCAATCACTGACCAGCTTTAATCACAACAGGTTGGTTTGCATCTTCTTTAGTTTTATGTAAAGGAAATCATACCATATGTACATTTTTGGGGAGTCTGACTTCTTTCACACAGCCTAATTATTATGAGACTCGTCCACATAGTTTTAAAAATTTACACACATATTTTTGTTACTCAAAATGTGGTCCACAAACAATAGCAAGCATCACTTGGGAGTTTGTTAACAATGCAAAAATCTTGGGCCCCAGCTCAGACCTACTACATCAGAATTGTATTTTAACAAGGTCTCCAGGTGATTTGTATGCACAAAAATACTTGAGATGCACCACTTTACACCACGGTCTTACATTAAAGTAATTAATAAACAATCCTTTTCCCAGGTGTTGTAAAGACTGTAATTAACTTCAAGGTAATTAGCTTAAAAGTAAAAAAGCCTTCACATATTTTTAAAATTCAATGAAACCTGTCAAGAAAATTAAGAGTAAACCTCACACAAATATCCGTAATAAAAAGCAGAAGAAAAATAGTACTGGAAGGGCTAGATGTATGATAAAAATTTAATGGACTAATGAAAGGGCACACTTAATGTAAGACCTCGATAAAAATCTCTATTTGTTAACAAGAATTCAAGTACTTCAATGAATAGAAAGATGCCTTTTAAAAATTGTTTTAAAGTCAATCATTAGTGACAGAGCTCCAATTATCAGTTTGACACAGAAAAAGATGGATGTTTAGAACTAATTCGTTTCCTTACAATTAAGTTTTATAAGATTCTTCAAGCATTGTGCACTGCATTAAGTAAGAGAACGAATGGTGTTCCCATTTGTACATATTTTAAAATATATACATTTAAAAATATTAACATAGGCATACCTTTCGTGAACTATGATTAACTGTTCAAGAAAACAGTGGTATAGATAATACAAAACAGAAATAAGTACGACTTTTTAGGGTTTGAAGGTTTGTTTTTTGGTGCGTGGGAGTAAGAAAGTAATGGGAAGAATACAAATTGGGGTTTTTTTCCTTAGTTTTTAGAGTACAAAACAATCTAATTCTGGAGGAGGTCCATAAATGTGCTAGCTAGGGTGAAGCTAGCAGAAAATTGAATATTTGCTGCTGATATTGAGAATATTACATATAATTTTCATATATAGGTGCTCAAAATTCATTTCCCATCTGCTACATATTCAAATGATAACTCTCCCGTGGGTATGTATTCTACTTACAGACTCAAAAGTTTGTTGATTTTCTCTCATATATGAGACACAAGCCTTCCTGATTTCCAAATGATGGACTTGGCTGCAAAACAACTAAAAAGAGAAAAACCAGCTTACTGTCAGCAGTCATTTGAAATAGAAACTTCTAAATTAAGACTAGGAACTGACACTTAAAGTCACCCTTATTCAGAACGTATGTGGGAAATTAAGTCCTGATATTACTAACATCTGTTTCTGTCACCTTTCGTGAGACTGGAGAGAAATGATTCTGTTAAGCTCCCCCTTTTCTACTCTTTGTGGGCACAGTTTGAATATTTTTCATTAGGCATAAAAATTTAGAGGAAGCAGGGGCTGCTTATAAAGGATCAAGATAAATTTCAGTTTTTTCTTTAACCCCATTATTTTACCTCTCATACATTCCAAAGTAGTATTTAGAAAACAGAAAAGATAGCAAAGGCACAGCGGTATATTTAGACTAATTAGCAAAGGTATGCACCAAGCTATTAAGTAGCAGAAAGACCCGGATATTTTTACTAGGAAAGAAAAAAGGGGGATTTTTGTTTCTGTTTCTACAGTTCTTCTAGGTACAGTACCGTGCCACATCACAAACTCTAAAATCTAAGTATAGGGAAGATATATTTGCTTTCCTTTTACCTGCTCCGAAATAGCCCGAAAGAGGCAAGAGGCATCCTTGGCAGTCAGCTTTCGAAACAGTCCTAAGCTGCCTAAATATTCATCCATTGTTGCCTCACTCATAGACTTCTGGCCGCAGTACTTTTTCCATCCTTTATGCATTGTACACGGAGGGTGGAGATGGGGAATGGAAAAAAGGAACACAAGTGTAGCAAGAAGAAAAAGCAAGGTTCGGGTAGGAATGGGTAGTAGTGACAAGGACTTGCTTTATCCGGAAAGCAGCCCAAAGTCCAGGCATGAGAAGGCAGTTGGAGTCAGCGTTGCAAAATCTTGACACTTCTCAGGAGCAGAAGCAAAGAGCTGGCTTCCCCAGGACTAGTCGAGATTCTGTGAAAAGAAGAGGAAGAACCAATGCTCCTAGGAATAGAGAACTAGACTTGAGAAAGACATGGGAGGGAGAAGGGTACTTGCAGAGCTACTTTGCTGGGGAAGAGTAGAATTAACCCAATCAGCCCAAGGTTGAGAGAGGTATGCACAAGCAGCTGAATTTTGGGACCAAAGGGAAGCTGAGTTTACAGCTTAACTCAGGGCAACTGCTCCACGAGGCTGCCAAGGAACTGCAATAACACCCAGGTGTATATGATGTAGCCTGGCCCACATTACATTGCTGTAAAACCTCTGCCCAAGTTACCTGCTCCTATAGTTATATGGAAATGAGAGGGGGGAAATCTGAACCTAATAGTAAGGTTTTGTATTAAGAATATCTTTTTAAAAGCGCCCTTAATATATAGGTACAGAGGTCACAATTCAAGCAAAGTAAAGTGCCAACGCAGTTATCTAAATATTTCAGAAAAAGGGATTCAGTTCTCCTCAGTGGTCGGCAAACTCATTAGTCAACAGAGCCAAATATCAACAGTACAACGATTGAAATTTCTTTTGAGAGCCCAATTTTTTAAACATAAACTTCTTCTAATGCCACTTCTTCAAAACAGACTCACCCAGGTCGTGATATTTTGTGGAAGAGCCACACTCAAGGGGCCATGGCTCTCAAGCCAAGTTTGCCGTCCACGGTCCTAGATAATAATAACCCTATGATATGATCACAGAAACTAATTCCATTGGCTATGCTAGGAAACAGAGATACATTTATTGACTAATGTCTGCAAACACTTGTATTGCTTTAACAAAAAGAAAATATACAAAAAGTGTTTCTTAAAAATAAAAATAATTTTAATTGAAACAGCATGAAAGGAATAATTTAGCCACAAACTTTTATTTTATTTTATTTAATATATTTTATTGATTTTTTACAGAGAGGAAGGGAGAGAGATAGAGAGCTAGAAACATCAATGAGAGAGAAACATTGACCAGCTGCCTCCTGCACACCCCCCACCGGGGATGTGCCCACAACCAATGTACATGCCCTTGACCAGAATCGAACCTGGGACCTTTCAGTCCGCAGACCGACGCTCTATCGCTGAGCCAAACCGTTTTTTAGCCAAACTTTTAAAGAGTACATTTAAAATCCTGGGGCACAGCACTGTTGGACATTGAGAGTCATGTTTCACTGTATTATTAGGGCACTTTTTTAGAAAAATTAAAAATTACTCTGAATTCTAAGAAAACCAAAGTAAAATATGACTGTACTTTATAAGGTTCAAAGACATGACCGCTCACTTGTATTACTTGAGTCCATGGTCAAGTGTCTTGTTTTTATTTAAATAACAAAATCCAATTCCCTTCTTACTTTTCTAAATGTTAAAAAAAAATAGATCAAAATCAGACTCTGGAGAAATTGCAAATTCCAGCTGCCTTGAAAACTGTTTTTCTTGTAACTGTGGATCTAGTAATAATGCCTACAGAGAAAGCATCAATAATCAATTTTATAATTTAAGAATGAAATAAAAGCATGGTAGAGAAAAGAATAAAATCTTGACATCCTTTTTAATGTGCCAATTTGAAATTACGTTCACTAATTTATTTTTTAAAGAAACCATAACATTGAGGAAATTATTCCTTTTGTAAAAGTTCTGAAACATGATTTGGGAAGAGGAAATCACCATCTTTCTTTAAATCCACAAATTCACAGGGAAGAAAATTAAGGGTTATGAAAAGTACAAAGTCTTCATATTCATTGTATTTAAATAAAAAAATAAGGTATATAAAATGCAAGTAATACTAATCTATATACTTAATTTTGAGGAATAAAGGAAGGGAAAACTGGGAAGACAGAGAGAGAGAATCAAAAATGGAAAGAACAGGAAATAAAAACTAGAGACAGGCATCCTTGGCAGTCAGCTTTCGAAACAGTCCTAAGCTGGAAAATAAAAGAAGAAGAAAGGGAAAATAACACATAGAAAGCACACAAGACCCACACAAATAGAAATTGATTTTTGGCAAAGAGTACAAGAGCAGTCTAATAGAGAAGACAGTAGTTTCATTAAATGGTGCTAGAACAATTGACAGCCATATGCAAAAGAAAAAAAAATGATCCTCAACCTATACTCACACATTAGATAGCAATTAACTCAAAATAGATCAAATACTTAAATGTAGAACAAAACTTCAACTTTCTGAAGAAAGCATAGGAGAAAATCTTCAAGGCCTTGAGTCAGCCAGAGTTCTTAGATGTAATATAAGAAAAAAAATTAATTGGAATCAAAATGAAAATCTTTTGCTCTGCAAATGACAAAAGAACGATAATACAAGCCAGACTAGGAGAAAATATTTGTACATTACCTATCTGACAAAAAAAAACAACTTTTAATCAAAATGTATAAAGAACTCTCAAAAGTCAACAGTAAGAAAACAATACAATTTTAAAATGGGCAAAAGATTATACATTTCACTGACAATATGGTTAATAAGCACATAAAAGATGTACAACCACTATGCTGTACACCTGAAATTAATATATTTAATATTAAAGCTATTTTTAAATATATATTTTCTTGATTTTAGAGAGGAAGGGAGAGGGAAAGAGATAGAAACAGCAATGATGACAGATAATCATGGATCAGCTGTTTCCTACTTGCCCCTACTCATTCACATGCAGGTTTTTGTTTGGACATGTTTCTATTCTATTGGTTAATACCCAGGAATGTAGTTGCTGGATCATATGGCAAATGATGTTTAACTATTTGAGGAACCGTCAGACCGTTTCCCACAGCAGCAGCACCATTTTACATTCTCATCAATAATGTACAAGGGTTCCCATTTCTCCATATCCTATCACTATTCCATCTCTTGATTACAGCAATAATTGTGTGTGAAGTGGTAGCTCCCTTGTGGTTTTGTTTGGATATCCCTGATGGGAAATAATGTTGAGCATCTTTTTCATGTGCCTATTGGCCATCTGTATATCTTTAATGAAATACCACTACATATATCTTAGAATAACTAAAATAATGTTTTAGCAGACAATACCAAGTGTTGACAAGTATGCACAGCAACTGGAACTCTCATATGTTGGTGGTGGGAATATAAAATAGTAAAACCACTCTGGAAAAATAGTTTAGCAATTTCTTATAAAGTTAAATAAACAGAGTACCATTATGACCCAATAACCCCATTTTTTTAGTATCTTACCAAGATACCAAAAACATGTACATAAATGTATATAGCAGCTTTTTTCAAAAATCATAATTCACCTAAAACTGGAAACAATTCAAACATCTTCAACTGGTGAATGGACAAACTGTCCCATAGCCAAATAATAGAATATTCCCCAGCAATAAAAAAATGAAGCATTGATAGACACAGAATATGTATGAATCTCAAATGCTCTGAGTTATGTGACAGAAGACAAATTTAAAGGCTACATACAGTATGACTGTATTTATATGTCATACTGGAAAGGCAAAACTATAAGAAGGGAAAACAGAGCAGTTGCTGCCAGTAGTTGGGGTAGCAGAGAAGGACTGACTACAAAGGGATAGCACAAAGGATGTATTGGGGTATCCGAAGTATTGTGGTAGTGGTTACATGAGTATACATCTGTTGAAATTTATAGAATTGTACAAGAAAAAAAATGCTAATTTTGCTGTATTTAAATTTTAAAAACGAATAAAACAAAAAGCAGTAGAAGGAATAGAATTTCAAGTTGAGGAGCTCACAGAACAGACAAGATTGGAGAGAAAAAGCAAGCAAATTAGAAGGTCATTCCAGGAAAGCCAACACCTAACCAACAGGAAGCTCAAAAAGAGATGATGAAAGTAGATGGGAAGAAATGATTGTGATGATGATGATATCATGAAAATTCTAGTACTGCAGGATATGATTATCTTTATTTAGATTAAAAGGTTCCATGAAGTAGCCACAACAATGAAAACATAAAATGATGATCAGCAACACACATAAAGTCAGGGGATAAAGAAAAGATTTTAAAATCTTTCAGAGAGAAAAAAAAGGGGTCACATACAAAAGATCATACATATGCATAGCAATAAACTTCTCAATAGAACTAGAATCTAGAAAACAATATAGTTCGATATTTGATGAGAAAGCATTTCCAACCTTGAATTCTATATCACACTATAAATCAGATGTTGGAGTTTTCAAAAATGAAATATTGAAATAATTTACTTTCTCAGAAAGATACTGGAGAAATATTCTAAACTAAAATAAAAAAGTTTAAACTGCAGAATAAGGTAGGAAGGCACAGTATCCTAGAAATAGAAGCAAAGGAATTTCCACTTTAAGGATGAAGGGGAACTCTGAGGACAAACATTTAGGAAGACAAAATAGAGAACAACCAGTTCAGGTAAAAGGACGAAGAACACCAGCGCAAACATTCCAAAAAGCTTTTATAAGTAAGTAATAGAAGTTATAGATGACCTAATGTATTTAAACATACTAGGATATATACCTCTGTTGGAGAATTTAAGGATGTTTCTAGAGAAAACTGAGCAAACAAAAAGAAGTATACAAAAAATGTAAAAGTCTTATAGAAAAGGAAATGTAATCAATGAACATGGCTCGGATGTAATCAACATTATACTTAAGTAATTGTAATAATGTCAACACTGAAAACATCTCACAAGAACTGATAAAACTACCTTTTTGTGTTTTTTAATGTAAATATCATCAATAGAAGGTCATATATAGGAAGTAGGATCACAGATGGAGAGGAATGGCACATAAAACTGCTGTTTCTTATTAGCCTTGTAGATTCATTAATATTTTATATCATTTACATGTATTAACTTAAGACATAATAAAAATTAAATTTAAAAATTATTCAGTATGTGAGCAAGAAACTGAATAGCAAAATAAACTGAAAAACAAGTAGAATTTTACAGCTACAAGGGATCGCTTATAGATGAAAAAACTGTGTTTCAAATAATTATGACTTGTCCAAGTTTTCCCATCCATTCAGTAACAGTACC